GTTCTGTTCCCCACTGTCTCTGGTGAATCCTCTCAGCGCCCCCCCCCTCCCCGCCTCTGGCCTGTACCCCAGCTCTTGTATGCATAAATAAATAAATCTTTAAAAAAATAAAATTCCAGGAGAGAAGAATTACCAGGAGAGTAAACAAACTTTTTCCCAGTCCTTACAGCTATAAAATGGGGCCATAACCACCCATTCTCTGTGGGTTTCCTAGGAGAAGAATGCACTACATTATTTTTCTTCTTCTGAAAATAGCCATGACGCCTGGAAATAGAAATACCTTTTTCTTTTGTGAGTCATATTAACAAAATAATAAAGAGAATTTTTTGGCCTCTGAAGATAGCAGCACTGATGAATATTGGAAAGAGTATGCTCTGAAGTTAAAGCCATATGAATTCACATCTGGGCTCTGTCATTTCCTGCCTATGAGACTTTGTACTTTTTTTTTTTTTTTTTTAAATAGAGGCATGTTTATTTATTTATTTATTTGTTTGTTTGTTCTGTTTACACATGCACTGGGTACAGTCAGAAGCACGGGAGGGTGAGAGAATTCACCAGAGCCAGAGCGGGGAGCAGAGCAGGCAGAAGGACCGAAGTACACTGCTGAGGGGAGCAGCGGGCGGCAGGAGAGGTCTGCGCGCCATGTGGGACCCTCCTCCGGTGGCCGGGGAGCAGCCGGGGATCGAACCGGCGCTGCAGAAGCCGCGGGCAGCTTCGCAACCCAGCGCTCAACCGCTGCGCCACCGGGGAGGCCCCTGCCTATGAGACTTTGGATAAGATACTTGAGCAATTCTAAGCCCCACTATCCTCATCTGCCAAACAGGAGATAATCATCTTCTGCCCTTACAGATTTGGTTGTGTAAGGAATTAGTGTTGGTTAAACGTACCCAGTAGGCACTCCGTAAACCTTTGCTGCTACTGCTGCTTCTAGAGATGGAGGTGGAGGCCACTGATGGTTCTGTTTGACTAGGATATGAGCAAAGGAGGGTGAATTACAGTCCTTTAATTTTTACCATGGGTAAACAATTTGAATTTTTTGTTTTTAAGGTTTTATTAATTTTTGTGTAGAAGAACTGGAGTGTAGGCCAGTGGTGTGGGAGGTGAGAGGACTCACTAGAGATAGTGGGGAGCAGAACAGGCAGATCTACTGAAATACACTGCTAAGGGAAACAGTGGGCAGGCAGGAGAGGTCTGCTGCACCATATGTGGGTCAGCTCCCTTGCAGGGGATTGAACTTAGATGATAGGGGTGGTAGTGCTGAGACTTAACCCCTAGGACACCAGGGAAGCCACAAGTTAAAATTTCATCTTTTTTCTGTACTGACTTCTTAGGCTTTTGCATTTTAAACCCCTTAATATACAACTGGTTTTTAAAATATTCCCAAAGTGAGTAAAGGGGCAAAATTTGTACCCATTCAGGCATTTGTGAAATTCATACTAATGTTTTGGCACTTACTTCTTGTTGTTTGAGATAACATCTGTCAGTGGCTGTTATGTAGGAGGCCTGGGAATATATGTCTTGTTATGAAAGGGGCAGGGTTAACAGACACTTTAGTCCACAGACACTTTATAGGTACTGGGGATACAGTAGTGAGCCACAGAGACATTTTTGGGGGGTAGGGAGAGCTAAATAAAATACATATTATATATGTAAATACAATGGAGAAAAGTAAAACAATAATAAGTGTTGTAGGTAGAGATTTTATTTTATTATTATTTTTTTTAAAGATTATTTATGCACACAAGAGCTGGGGTACAGGCCAGAGGTATGGGGGGGGGAGAGAATCCACCAGAGACAGAGTGGGGAACAGGCAGGTCTATTGAAATACACTGCTGAGGGGAGCAGCAGGCAAGTCAGGAGAGGTCTGCTGTGCCATGTGGGTAGCTCCTTGGCTGGGGGATCGAACTTGGGCTGCAGAGGCTGCGGATAGCTTCATAGGTTGCGTCTTAACCCCTTGCGCCACCAGGGAGACCCTGAAGGTAGAGATTTTAAATGAGGTGGTCAGGGACAGTCTGAGGAGGTAATATTTAAGGAAAATGGGAAGAAGCTTAGGCTACTTACACATTTCTTAAGAGAGTCGCAGGAACAGCAGATACAAAAGGGCTGAGGTTGGAATCTTATGTTAACTAATGATAAGTAATTTGAGTTTTAGGGGGAGGGGCGGCAAGATAATGATACTGCTTTTGTGTGTTTTGAGAGATGAATAATTGTGGAACATTATTGCAGTGATTACCTATAGGCAGGAGAGGTGAGGCTGGAAGGAAATCTGTTGGTGGGTGTGCGTACACGCACACACTATAGGTGATAATTATTATTGAAGTCATGTCTGGACATTCTCCTGGAATTACATGTAGAGAAGAGTAGAATGCTGGGGAACACAAAGTTTGGGTGGGATGGAAGTTTGGGTGGGATGGAAGAGAAGCCTTAAGAGAGACTTCGGATCAAACACTTCAAAGGTAAGTGACATTGTAGGAAAGGGTGGTGCTGCTGAAGCAATGGCAGGGGAGATAATCTTGTCTGACTTCCATGTCTGCTCATCTCTGCCAGCTCCCACCCAAGCTAGCCTTTGGGCACAGTCCCCATTCACATCATTACTTTAGTTTGGGCCTACTTCAGTTTTTGCTAGTTCTTCAGTAGGCTTTTATCTTGTTTTCTTACTCCTAAACTCAGCCCTTATTAGTCATCTTCACACATTTGCCAAAGTGTTTAGGTGTTCTAAAATACCTTAGCTGCCATTGTCTTCCTATTACAATACTTCAGGATAAAGTCTAACCATCTCAACCTGGCAAAAAGATGCCCTTCATGATCTGTCACCCCTGTTTGTTCTCATCTCCTGACTTCTTTCTCCTTAACACCCTGACATCCTAAATCTCATGCATTCAAGTTATTTGTCCTTTAGAAGGACACTTGTTTGCTTCTAGGCCTCTCTGTACATGCTACCTTTACTTCCTGGAATGACTAAACTCTCCATAATTCATTAATGCTACAAGATTTGGTTAAAGTGTTACCTTCTCTGCAAAGCCCTCTGACTTCCTGCCAAAACCTGAATGTTCTCTGAGGACTGACTTCCTAGTTTGCTGCAGATCCCTAGAGTAGTCCTAATGATGGTACCTTGAAATTGTCTCCTGTTTGTTTTCCCTCTCCAACTTATGAGCTCATAGAGCACAGCAACTCTGACATAGGGATCTTTGTATTTCTGTTGGTATAGTGTAGTGAATGCAGTGGTTCTCAGTATTGTCACTAAATCAGCAAGTCAAGATACTGGGAACTTGGTAGAAATGCAGATTCTTGGACTCCACCCAGACTTACTGAATCAGAAACTCAGGCGGTGAGACCCAGCAATATGTGTTTTAGCCAACTTTCCAGGTAAGTCTGATACATGTTTGAGAACCATTGGTCTAGTGAAATGAATGATGGATAACATTCATTGCGGAGGAGTAAGCGCTGGTCTCATAAGTGGAGGAGATCCTGTCCACCTGTGTTAGTCCTTAGAAAAATGAAATTGCAGTGCTCTAGTGATGGTTGCAAGAACTTAAAATTATGAATATATGTAGTTAAGATTCACAATATTTTTGATGTTATGAATTTGGCCTCAAAATCTGTTCTGATCTTACTAACTCAACCCTTTAAAATTAGAATTAAACTAAAAGGAAGACACATACTTGCTATTTTAAAAAATTACTCATATCACCACCAGAGATAACCAAATTATCAGTGATTATTTCTAAGTGATACCATGGTTTTTATTCTTTTGTTTATGCTTGAAATTATCTATATTTTATTCAGAAACTTTTAAGTCATTTTGAAACATTAAAAAATAAGTTGAAATAAACTTATCACTTAATCTTATTTTTTTCTTTTAAAGATTTCTTTTATTATGCATACAAGAACTGGGGCACAGGCCAGAGGTATGTGGGGGGGTGGTTTGAGGATTCACCAGAGACAGAGTGGGTAACAGGACAAGTGAATTGACTGAAATACACTGCTGAAGAGAGCAGCGGATGAGTCAGGAGAGGCCCGCCGTACCATGTGGGCAGCTCCCCAGCCGGCCAGGGATCTAACTCCTGATGCAGAGGCCACAGATAGCCTCATAGGTTGTATTTTAACCCCCTGTGCCACCAGGGAGTCCCCTTATCACTTAATCGTATAGCATCACTCAGCTATAAAGATTGTCATTCAGAAGATCTATTTGTATATAGTTTTTTTAAAGCTTAACGTGAAAATGAAAACAAATTTTAAAATTTCAGAGAGCTCCTGAATTTCCTGGAGTCAGTCCGTGGAGCCAAGAAATCTTCATAAATATTAATTTACATGACATTTCTAAAGTCCATGAAACAGATATCATGTGGTATTTAAATTCACAACAAAAAAAACCTCACCAAAATATCAACCAGCTAGCCTAGTTTTAAACTTTTTAAAAGCTTGTACCAAGTTTGAATCACATGATTTCTTGCTGTAAATATTTTTTCAAGTCTGTGTTTTATTTTTTGTCATCTTTATGTTCCTTGTACGCTCGTTCTTGCCCAACTCACTACCCTCAACTCCTACCCCCTCTCTTACTACATAGGTCTTAGGACTTCATGGTTTGGGTGGGGCTGTAGTTGTAATTTGCTGTTTGGATCAGTTTAGATCTGTCTTCCATTGAGTGACTTGTGGGTGGGCACATGACTCAGAGAGGACCAGTTAAGAGTCTTCACCTTCATACTGAAAGCCAACAGAGTTATTTCTTGCTTATTATACTGGGGTGACAAGATAGTAGATATTCTGAAAAATAGATCCAGAAGAAGCCATTTGAAATAGCCTAACAGGAAATTTAACAGGAGGAGCAAAGACACTCGAAGAGGGAATATAGGAGGTTAAGCTGTATAGTTACCTAGATTTCTCCTCTCAGATTACCTTTTTGATTGAAGCTATTTCTGATTGGGTTTTTCAGTTACCACTGAAAAGCATCCTTAAATAATGAGCATGTTAAAATTTAAAAAATTTGTCCTTTTTAACAGGTGAAGATGGAGCTGGAAAAACAAGCTTAATAAGAAAAATTCAGGGAATAGAGGAGTACAAGAAAGGAAGAGGATTGGAATACTTGTACTTAAATGTTCATGATGAAGACAGGGATGGTGAGTGTCATTTATTTTAACAAATTTTCTGAAATGTAACTGCTGCGCTTATTAGCCTTTGACTTTTCTTAGTGTGTCTTTTTTTATTATTTTTTATTATTATTATTTTTTAAAGATTTATTTATTTATTTATTTATTTATTTATTTATACATACAAGCACTGGGTACAGTCAGAAGCGCAGGAGGGTGAGAGAATCCACCAGAGCCAGAGTGGGGAGCAGAGCAGGCAGAAGGACCGAAGTACACTGCTGAGGGGAGCAGCGGGCGGCAGGAGAGGTCTGCGCGCCATGTGGGACCCTCCTCTGGTGGCCGGGGAGCAGCCGGGGATCGAACTGGCGCTGCAGAGGCTGTGGGCAGCTTCGCAACCCAGCGCTCAACCACTGCGCCACCGGGGAGGCCCAGTGTGTCTTTTTTTAAATTAGGGCTTCTACTCTGTCATGCCAGTTAGTAAGTAGTTATGTCTAGGTACACTTTTGACATATTAGGGTATTCTGATTTGCAGACTTTAATTTTCTTCCCATCCTTGAAGAATCTGAATTTCAATTTCATTTTCACTCAGATAGTAGGATCATAGTATCTTATGATTATTTTGCTGACTCCCTTTTTACCTCATGTTGGGGATAAAAATATCATTTACCTTCCAGTTTTTCTCAGTTGATTAGCCATTTTTTTCCTTCCATAGATCACTTGTTTCTCATTTTCATATATAATATCTTGACATATTCATGATTCTATCTGGTGATGTAAGAATAGAACATGTTATTCAGTCTGTTGTTGAAATTGAAAGATGTTAAGTAAAGGATATTGGTGTTTTGTGTTGGCAGCTAAGTCATTTTCAGAAATATTCATTAGACCTTTACTAAATTGGTAAATGCAACCCAAATGGTTCCATTTTGTCAAAGCTGAGAGAGATCTCCTATGGAGATGGTCTAAATTACCACAGTGTTGTTAGTGGGATGGTAAAATAACTTAATTCTGTTGCCTTGATAAACCTTCCCTTGTCTGTTGTAGATCAAACAAGATGTAATGTATGGATCCTAGATGGAGACCTGTATCACAAAGGCCTCCTTAAGTTTTCACTGGATGCCATTTCTCTGAAGGACACTCTGGTTATGCTGGTTGTTGACATGTCAAAGCCTTGGACTGCTTTGGATTCTTTACAGAAATGGGCAAGTGTTGTTAGAGAACATATTGACAAATTGAAAATCCCTCCTGAAGAAATGAAGGAAATGGAACAAAAGTGTGAGTAATCTAGAAATACTGGTATAGATTTCAGATACAAAATTTCTTAGCTGACTATCATAATTGTTAGGAATTTCTGACTGTGTGTAAGCTTTAAAGAAATTGGTGAAATTCAACTTGAATGTGGTGCTAAGTTTTAATGTAGTTTTTAATTGGAAACATTTAGAATATGGCAGAATCTTTACTAGAGGTGCTTTTTTTTTTTTCTTTGCCAAAAGAGTGTATGTGTTCCTTGTGGATAGTAATTTTTCAGGGCAAAAAAAAAATTGAATCTTTATTCAGCTGCTCATTTTCAGCAGTTGTATTTCTTGATAAGTGGAGCGATCTTATTAACCTCATCAAAATCAATTATGTCCAAAAAAGATAATAATACAAATATAAAGATGTTAAACTTATTTGATGATTTTTTCACATGCTCATGTATATTGGAAATTTTCATGGAGATTATGAAAACGATATGGGTAATTTTCAACAGGTCGTAAGCCAGTTGCCACAGTTCTTGATTTCACGGAGCACTCTTCATCTGCCAGTGTTATACCTTGCTTAAGGAAATATAGTGATGTAATGCTGTTTTTCTTAGTTATTGTTGGCTGATAATAACTTTTAGGGGGAAATGAACAGCATACTGCATTTATGTACAAGGAAATAATAAAATGTAAGAGAAAGTATGTCCTAAATCATTGAAATAAAGAGATATTTAAGTGCTTTTATTATGTACCTTTCTTTCCCCTTTGGCCATTGCCTATGGGCCTTCCCCTGCCCCCTCTAAATTTATACTAGAAAGGTGATCCTCAATGTGTGGTTCCCAGGACCACAACATCAGTCTCAATACAGTTGGCAGCTTGCCGGAAATACACATCTTAGGCCCTACCCCAGACTACTGAATCAGAAAACCTGATGCATGCTAAAATCAAAAAATCTGTTAGATTTCAGCTTCAGATCTGAAGAGTTTTAGCTACCAAGCTGCTAAGGGTATTTGCATGCCCCTGTGTTCCTGGAGGAACCACATTCATCTGTTAAAGATTCTCTCTTTCTGGACTCCATGTAATTTTAGGACAGTTTTGCGGCAAATGAGTCCTATCCCAAAGAGGGTCTAGCTCATAATTCCTTTGCTTAAAAACTAACATTTTCTAGTTTTATGAATAGTATACATTCTTTATTTTTAAAAATTGAAAAGATTTCTTAATGTTATTTTCCCCAATTCTTTTATATTTCTAGGCTTTTCCTCTTTTTTTCTTTTAATATTATTTTCCTACAACATTCTTTGAAAACATTTTATGGATCAGTATAGTATTCCCTCATATGATATTTTAATCCTATACTGTAGATAATTTGCTTCCAGATATGTTCTGCTTTTAAACATGAAAAGCACGCTCATATGGAAGTCACTGTGTGTGCATCCCTGATTGTTACCTGGAACATTCCTGGAAGGGTGATTCCAGAGTCAGTATATACATAGTTAAAGCTCTTGATACATTCCCTTTAACTTTTTTAAGTATTTGACAATCTTGTAAATGAGTTCAAAAATTTATCAGTGTTGGGCCTCCCCGGTGGTGCAGTGGGTTGAGCATAGCGCTGTGAAGCTGTCTGCAGCCTCTGCAGTGCTGGTTGGATTCCTGGCCAGAGGGAGAATCCCACATGGCACAGCAGACCTCTCCTGTCGCGCCCGCTGCTCCCCTCAGCAGTGCTTCTGTATGCCTGTTCTGCTCCCCGCTCTGTCTCTGGTGAATCCTCTCACCTTCCCGCACCTCTGGCCTGTACCCCAGCTATTATATAAATAAAAAATAAATCTTTAAAGAAAATTTATCAGTGTTGCCCCTAGATGAAAAAGAAGACTTAATTAAAAAGTTTAAAGAAAGAAAGTTAGGGCCTCCCTGGTGGCGCAGGGATTAAAGTCTCAGCACTCTAAAGCTATAACCAGACAGTGCAGCATGAGTTCAGATCCCAGGCCAGGGAGCTGGTCCAGGCAGTGCAGCACACTTCTGTCTCACCTGCTGTTCCCCTCAGTAGTGTATTTCAGTAGATCAGCCTGTTCTACTCCCCACTCTGTCTCTGATGAATCCTCTCCCCTTACCCCCACCTCTGGCCTATACCCTACTTCTTGTATGCATAAATAAATCTTTTTTTAAAAAGGAAGTTAATATTAGAAAGTCATCTAGGAACTGCCTACTGTCTTTTAAATAGAGGAATCCCTTCCCACATACATGTATTTTTTTCTGTTGTTATTTCAGTGCTTTCTGTAAATTAGTGAAGATAGAGATACAGAACTGTATTGTGTCTTGCCCAAAGTAATTTGCACAAAATTGAACCAGGCCTATAATGAACCCCACTTTGGAACAGTTTATTGCTATACTCTGCCTCCTAATAACTAGCGTGGTTCCAGAGATTTCTCAAACCCTTTTTGTTTCTTAAACAAGACGAAATAGAAACTTAAGTAAAATAGATCATAGCAGAAAAGGCTACCTACTGAAATGAAGCAATTTCTAAGCTATGTATTAATTTACCTTTGATTTCCAGTGATTAGAGACTTCCAAGAATATGTAGAACCGGGAGAAGATTTCCCAGCTTCTCCTCAAAGAAGAAATACAGTGTCTCAGGAAGACAAAGAGGACAGTGTGGTTTTACCTTTGGGTGCGGATACACTTACACATAACTTGGGCATTCCAGTACTAGTAGTTTGCACAAAGGTTAGTTTGCTTCCTAGAGAGTCCACTACTAATGTTAATGAGTATGAACAATTGTTTTGTTTTCCAGGCTCCTTTTGGAGTTGACATATTAGTTTCCTTAGATAATCTTTCTTAAAAACAAATAATAGTTTAAAATACTGAAAGATATTCACATGTTGGTTTTGTCGTCTAAGTCATGGTTTCTTTGAAAAAATATTTCAAACATTCTATTCGTGATTGGGTTTCATTTTTCTAATTTTAGTTAGACTTCATTGTTCAGTCAGTTTAGTAGAAATAATTATAGGTAAGATAATAATTTTAATATTTTTCCACATTTAAATCTGATGTCCTAATTGCCTAATATGAGAATATTATGTAAATAAAACAGACTTTTAAACACCTATCAGTACTCCTTGTATACAGTTGATACGCAGTTATCAAAGGCTTTTTATTTATCAAAGAGGTTCTGATAGAATTATGGAAATTCTGTTAATTTAGTTCTCTCACTATATATACTTTATAATAAAATCATACTTCCTTTAAAAATAATTTACAGTATTAAGAAATCATCTCCCCATTTGGAATGAAGAAGTTATGTCTTCGCTATTGTTAAGTCATGGACTAGTTAAGAAAATGAGAACATATGTAATAATGCTTTTGATATTTTTTGTAACATAAAATTTGCATATATAGTTGAAGGAAGGTATGGAATTTATATATCTTTGGAATGAAAATGATAAATTTTAAATCTAGCTTAAGTTTTACTTTAACCAAAAATTATCATTAACAAAATAAGGATAGCATTTAAATGATTAAGTTAGTCAGTTGTTTGCTTCTCAGATGGTGATTGTGTTTTGTTCTTATAACTTTTTTGTAAAACTCCTTGTAAACTCCACGATAGAATCCTTTCATGTGTACTTTGTTTTTGATTTGTTCCATCTAGCAAAAAACTGTTTATTGGCAGATAATTCTGTTTTACACAACTTTCTTCATTAAAAACTGCTATTTTCCAAAGGAAAAAGTTAAATTTGTAATTTGTCCCTTGTAAACTAGTGGGACCCAAATGAGTATCAAATGAGTCCATAGAGTCATAGTACCACACCAGAAATGAAGGGAGTCTCCTGTATATAAAGAATGTTTAAAGTAGACTAGATTTTACGTCTTAAAAGCTTTGTTCTATAACCACTCATTGTAAGACTGACCTGTTATTCTATGTCCCTTTATTTACTAAAATTTCTCTGTGGTGGTGGTCTTACTATATTCAGTATGACAGAAATAAGAGCCTTTAAAGAAATAAAATTATTCATTAGTCTTAAGACTTCCAACTGAAAGTCTGGAGTCTTAACATTAGCTCTCTAAACAGGAGTAATTGATGTTCTTGATCCTGATGTCCAGTCACTATTCAGAATGGTAGTTTTGCATTGTTCCCCCACCCAAAATTGAACTGTTTAGGTCATTATATTTCATTGTTTATTAATGTTGTATTGTTTTTAAATTTATTTTAATTCAACAGTGTGATGCGATTAGTGTTTTGGAGAAAGAACATGACTACAGAGATGAACATTTTGATTTTATTCAGTCACATATCCGCAAGTTTTGTTTACAGTGTATCCTTTTAATACATTGATTGGTGCAACACACCTTATGTATTTATATTTCTTTTTAAAGTAAAAGAATTAAATTGGTGGACTTTAGAAATTCCAAAAACTTTTTTCCTCCTGTCTCTGGTTGGAAATTTCATTTCATTCCCAAATCATTTATATCTTGGGTTTGAGAAGGTAAAGTCAACAATTGCTTCTTTATGTACTTTCAATATAGAAGTGGTAATAGTGTTGGCATTATGAAATTTACCTTCTTGGCTTGATGAGATTTGTCTGCCTTTGTTAAATAAATTATGTAAAATTATATTTGCATTTAGCCTTTTAGCATTTTATACTTTTGAAATTTTTGATTACTGTATGATATATCTTTAGAAATTATTTGAAAATAATATGCAAGCTGATATAAATGTTAAACAGAGTAGAGGATTTTATGCTACCTGTTCTTGGAATTTGTCCAAAAATTTCTTTAATGGTATTATTTAGATGGTGCAGCACTTATTTACACATCAGTAAAAGAGAACAAAAATATAGATTTGGTATATAAATACATCGTTCAAAAACTATATGGATTTCCCTATAAAATTCCTGCTGTTGTTGTAGAAAAAGATGCAGTATTTATGTAAGTATACTCTTAAATATATTATTTTATGATGTATTGTTGCTGTTGTTTGATGGACATTTTTGGTTTTAACGTGATCTTTCCATGATGAGGAGGTAGGAATCTGTTCTTAGATTTTTTTAATTTATAACCTATCTTGTTCTATTTATCGTTGCCTTTTAAATTGACCAAGTGGCCTTGCTTTTATAGCTAACCTATCAGTGCAATGTATATATCAGTTCATCTACAATAAATAAGAACCCAATGTGTAATCTAGATATGCTTTCCAAAAGTTATCTTAATAAAATTGGGAATAGGGCCTCCCCTGGTGGTGCAGCGGTTGAGCGCCGGGCTATGAAGCTGCCTGCAGCCTCTGCAGCGCCAGTTTGATCCCTGGCTGCTCCCCGGCCACCTGAGGGAGGGTCCCACATGGTGCGCAGACCTCTCCTGCCGCCCGCTGCTCCCCTCAGCAGTGTGCTTCGGTCCTTCTGCCTGCTCTGCTCCCCGCTCTGGCTCTGGTGAATTCTCTCACCCACCCGCGCTTCTGACTATACCCAGTGCTTGTATAAATAAATAAATAAAATAAAAAATTAAATAAATAAATAAAATTGGGAATAATTACCCATCCTCCTTCCCCCCATTTTGTAAATCAGAAGAAGACTGATAATCATTTTAAGCAGAAATTAGTAAGCCATAATTTGAAAATTATAGTAAAAAAGCTGATTAGTTTTCCACATTTGGTCACATTTAACTCCTCATAAAAATGTTCCCTGTAATGTGATTATGGATTGAATGAATGACTATATAAATGCTTCAGAATTTATTATGTGTGTTTCTTTCCAGTCCAGCAGGGTGGGATAATGATAAGAAAATAGGAATATTACATGAAAATTTTCAATCATTAAAAGCAGACGATAATTTTGAAGACATTATAACTAAGCCACCTGTCCGAAAGGTAACAGTTTTATTAGTATGTCATCTCAGTGTTAGGCTTTTAAAGGAGAGGGTTGAGTACATAATTTTGAGTTTGTGGGCAAAAAGATAAGGAGGTCCTTTTCTGTCAAAGGGTTTGTAAGTTCAAAATAAAGAGCTGTTTTGTCAACTATAAAGTAGCTATTTAGTTACTGAATCATTACTTAGCCTTTGGCATATTTACATTAGCAAATTTTAGTGCGGATCTCTTTAATGCAAATTGTAGATTGGCATGAGTGAATATGGATCTTGAATAGTTTTAGTAGGTAAAGTGAACTTTTCAATCTAGAGCATAAGACCTGAGGCAGATCTTGTATCTCCTCCGTAGTTTTCCCCTCTAGTCCCCAGCTATACAGGAGCGTCCAGTTTCCTTTATTGTTTTAATCTTAACTATAACATGTTATTCTCATGACTATAAAATCATGTTCTAGAAGGTGGTCTTCTTTCAGATTTAAGCAGTATATTATCTTCTGTAGTTAGATATTATAGATGTTTCTGCAGGTTTGTAATAATTAATGTTTTCACATGGTACTTCTCAATTACCTTTTAATTAGGACATGTTCAAGGAAAAATTGATTTTGATTTAATATATAATAACATTCCTACTTAAGAATCCAAAAATTTACACTGAGCATCTGTCTTCTGTTTGTGGGTAATTGGAAATTTCCCACAAACAGAAAGTAATGTCCAATGAGAAATCATTTGGCGTGGTATTTGGTTTGGATTTGTAAAATGCAAACATCAAAGAAAGAAACCAACAGTTTTCCCCTATTCATTCTTTTACCAATAGAATTGTGCTTTAAGTTGTCTTTTACTCATTCAGTAATATTTAGTGAGCACCGAATCAGGGATTGTTTAGGTGTTAAATAGTGTGATGCAATAGTAAATCAATACATGTGGTGATAAGTGCTAAGGAAATAAAGCAGGGTGAGGGTTGATGAGAGGACTGGGCCTGTGAAGGGGTATTGTTTTAGGAATGCCTAGGGTATGTCTCTGCTAAGAGGGGAGAAGATAGAAGGCAGAGTGAACGGAAACTTGCATACCCTGAGACTGAAATGGGTGAGGCTACCAGCATGGCTGGAAAAGAGTCCTGAGGAGGGCTGGAATGGGAAGAGGGGAAACACCGCATTAAGATCTCTTATGGGGCCTCATCAGTCGGGTCTGTAGTCAGAACTTTGGATTTCATTCTGAGTGAGTTGGGAAAAGATTGGAGGGAGAGTTTGAGCAGAGGAGTTTCGTGACTGACTTAATCTTTTAAAAACATAGTTCCTGGGTGGAAAACAGACTAGGGGCATGCTTTGTATAAAAATATAGGAAGCAGGAATTTGCAGGAGTTTACACCTCCTTTTTCCTAACTGATAAAAGAGCCATTGTGTTTTTATTTCAGGGAAACCAGGGCCAAGTTGCTTTGCACTCAATTGGGATGTTATCCTTTTGAAACACCTTAACTCAGATTTATAAGCATATTATTGTGCCTGTGGCCCTAGGGTTGTGATGTCTAAAGTAGTAGCTGCTGGTTACATAGACTTTTAGAAGTAAATTAAGTAAAACTAAATCAATTAAAAATTCAGTTCCTCAGTTACACTAGCCATATTTCAAGAGCTCAGTACCCACAGATGGATAGTAACTGCCACATTGGACAGCCCAGAGATAGAACATTTATATTAATGAAAGTAGTTATTGGGTAGCTCACCTGTGTAAATATAGCATAGATATTGTTCAGATTCCTGAATGGTTAAAAAAATTAACCTTGTCCAGAGAATATGTTTTTAATGGTTTTAGTATATTAAACCTGCTCATTTATGCATTGCTCATTTCAGTTTGTACATGAGAAGGAAATTGTGGCAGAAGATGACCAAGTGTTTCTTATGAAGCTACAGGTATGACATTATATCAAGCTGAGTTAGTATGGTTAATAGATAAACTGTTTATATATATTCTTCAAAAATATAAACATGCTATGAGTCTCTAACCTAGGATTCTTTTGTATTTTTCTAGACCCTTTTATCTAAGCAACCACCAACTGCAGCTGGAAGGCCTGTGGTCAGTATTACAGGTTTTGACAAAATTATTAGAATGCTGTGCATATTGTTTTTTCTTAATCATATGCATGTCTCATATGGGTGTCCTTGGTAAAACTTGAATTCAGAATTCTTCTGAAATTTGTGAGATTTTATAGGAAATACTCCCTTTATATAATATTTTAAATCCTAAAGACCTGTTTTGTTGTTTGTCAAAACACAACTGAACCATTTTTTATATATTACTTTATAAATCCTTACAACAGTCCTATGAAACAGGTACTTTTATTGGCCTTATTTTGCAAGTGGGGACATGGAGGCCTTAGAGAGTAATGAGTTTTACCTAAGATTATACAGATAGTAGGATACATGCTTATACTCTTTTGATTGAAGTACCATTGTTTTGCATTCTTGTTAGTATTTTGACAGTGTAGGATTTACCCCCTCAAGTGTGGTCACCGTAACATTCCAACCATCGAAGCACCCCATAGTCCTCCACCATAGCCCATTAGTAGGCTTATACTCTTAACCACGCTTCATTATTCAACATGTTCTTTTTCCATTGAAGGGAAATTTAGTGCCCTGAAACATGATGGACCGCTGGTATTTTATAATAATGGGGATACGATTGCTAAATATTTGTTATTAATGGCTTGTAGTATCAAAGTACCAGTGGAACAGATGGGGAATAGTTGCAAAGTAATTTTCTTTTTATAATTTTTGTGAAGGTTTCAGGTTTTTGTAATTATGCCTTTCCCATTTTTACATAGGATGCCTCACCAAGAGTCCCAGGAGGTTCCCCTCGTACACCAAACAGATCTGTGTCATCCAATGTTGCCAGTGTCTCACCCATCCCTGCTGGGTCAAAAAAAATTGATCCAAACATGAAAGGTATTTTCCTCTCTTTCTTGGAAAAAGCAACACAGTACATACTGTGATAGAAGAAATATACCCTAGAATTTCATCTTTTACCATAGTTATTTTCATTTTTATAGAATAGCTTCTTATAGATAGCTATTCTTTATAGAATAGCTTCTTTGTAGATACAGTCTCATAATCAGACTATCAACCATTTTACTGTATAGTCTTGATATATCATTACAGTTCATGTAAGGTTTATGAAAGTTTGTCATATTTAATAATTCTCCTATGTAGATAATTGAAGATATTTACATTTTTTCAGGTTATCTGCAGTTAACTTTAAAAATAACTATGCAAGGCTTCCTGGTGGCACAGGGGTTAAGTCTCACTGCTGTCAAGCTATCACCAGTCACTGAGGAATGAGTTCAATCCCTGGCCAGGGATCTGACCCACATGGACCTCTCCTGTTTCGCCCACTGCTCTCCTCATCAGTGTATTTCAGTACATCTGCCTGTTCTACTCCCAACTCTCTCTGGTGAATTCTCTCACCCTCTGCACCTCTGGCCTACACCTTAGTTCTTTTTTTTTTTTAAATGCATAAATAAACTAAATCTTTAAAAAAAATAAGTAATTATCTTACATCCTTAAAGGTTACTCATTTTGTTTTATATATAAGTAAATTACAGATGTTACCCCACCTCAGAAGAACAAACTAGACTTGAGTTTGCAACATACAGCTCTTAAATTTTAAGTCTATTGTTCATTCTTCCTGTGTGATTACTACAGTAATAATTTATGAAAAAATTAATGTTTTGAGTGAAAGTTTTATGTTTTTTGTTGAATAGCTGGAGCTACAAGTGAAGGTGTCCTGGCAAATTTCTTCAATAGTTTGCTGAGTAAAAAGACTGGCTCTCCAGGAGGCCCTGGTGTTGGTAGTGGCAGCCCTGGAGCTGGCGCTGCAAGTGGAAGCAGTGGTTTACCACCGTCTGCCAAAAAGTCAGGTATAGTTACTTGAAGCTTTTTTTTTTTTTAAACAGTTTTATTGAGAGATAATTTACATACCATGAAGTTCACTCACTTAAAATGTACAATTCAATAGTTTTAGTATATTTACAGAGTTGTGCAAACCATCATGTAATCTAATTTTAAGACATTTTTGTCTCCTTCCCAAAAAACCTTGAACCTACTTCTTTCTTCTCCCACAACCCCTAATCCCAGGCAACCATTGACTTGCTTCTGTCTCTCGATTTGCCTTTCTGCAGAGTTCATATAAATGGAATCATAAAATGTATATCTTTTTTTAACAGTGTTTTCAAGGTTTATTCACATTGTAGCATCTGTCAACACTTCATTTTCCCTTGTTGCTGAGTAAAATGCCATTGCATGGATATGCCATATTTTCTTTATTTTTCTATAGATAGACATTTAGATTATTTCATCTTTTTGGCTATTATGAACATTTGCTATGAACATTTGTTTTTATGGGGACATACATTTTCAATTCTCTTGGGTACATACTAGAAGAGGAATTGGTAAGTCATATGCTAACTCTGTATTTAAGTTTTTGAAGAATGCTAGTGTTTTCAGAATGCTGCACTATTTTACATTCCCAACAACAGAGTATAAGGGTCCCAATTTCTTCACATTCTTTCCAGCATTTTGATTAGAGCCATCCTAGTGGCTGTGAAGTGTTACCTTGTTGTGGTTTTGATTTGGTATATCCCTAATAGCTGATGTTGTTGAGAATCTTTTCATGATTTTTGACCACTTGTATATCTCTTTGGAGAAATGTCTATCAAATCACTTGTCCATTTTTAAATTGAATTGTCTTTTTATTCTTGAGTTTTAAAGTTTTCTTTACATATTCTGTTTTGTGTTGTCTTTTCACTTTCTTGATAAAGTCTGTTTTTTTTTCTTGCTTATATAACTGCTTTTTCAACAGACTTAAAATCGATGATGATGGTCATATAACTTAGTATGCTATAAAATTTAGTATGCTATGTAAAGTTAATGAAACTGTTTGCAGTTTTAAATGAGAATGGTGAAAAAAACACTTTGACTTATATCTGTATCTTGTTTGTTTTCCTTTAATCTAGGCCAGAAGCCTGTCCTATCAGATGTTCATGCAGAACTAGACAGAATTGCACGAAAACCAGTTACAGTTTCTCCTACCACACCTACATCTCCTACGGAAGGAGAAGCTTCTTGAAGATACCAAATAAAGCCATTTATTCAGTTTTCTGGGATAATGTAAACTTGCCTCTGCTTTTTCCTTCAAAAGTGGAATAGGGAGCTGGAGTGCTTTTTTCAGATGGACTAAATTTATGTCTTGTGTGTGTGGTTGCCCATTTTTATAAAAGAGAGCAATACAGAAGAAAATTCTACACCATGTAGGGTTGCTATTTGCATTGCCACTTTGCATAAGGAGTAATTTTGGATTTTGAAAATCACGTAATTTATAGATCTGAAATGCATCCATGTAATCATATTCTAAAGGCAATTTAAAACATGTTGAAAGGTTTGGGGAAGGGCAGACAATAATGTGCTTTGGGCATTTGATTGACTTGAAGTCCAGACTTATTTAAGATTATACAATCATTTAAAAAATCGCATGTTAGTTTTGCTGGAAAAGGAAAAAAATGATCGTCCGATTTTCCATACCAACATAAATATACCACCGTACATTGAATATGCTGAGAACACTGTCAGATAGTATTTGATATACTAGTCAGCTGTCTCAATCCATGATCCCATTGTCATCAAAATATGATTTTGAATATTGACCAAGATTTGTTTCTTTAAATGAGAAGAAAGCACACTGCCTAAATGTGTAAAAGAAAAATGCAGAGGTTATTAAAATGTAAAAAGGTACCAGTCTTTGGATTTGTCTATATATATATATATCTATGTCTATATATATATATATGGCTCTGCCTTAATATACCCCTTTTTTGTTCGTGACTTTCAACTGTAATCAGTTAATAAAGTATTTATTCTCTGCATTCAGGTTCAAATAACTTGTTGCATTCTATTTTTAAATTTGTATTTATCAAATAGTGAATATAACTTATTTTGACTTACTGGGATTATTAAGCATTCTGTTCTTAGAGACAACAACAGTAGGTTCGCTGCAAGTTTCCTTAAATTGGAAAACATGTCTCAAATTGTGGAATTTATGTCAGCATTCCTAGTAGATAAAAATACAACCGTTTATCATAATTTAATGGAAAGAAGCAAATTTAAAAACTTGGCACATGCACTAACTCATAGCTACTATAATAATTGGATCTTTTCTATTGAAGTTCAACTTCTTGGCTTTCCTCTGGGAGTGGCTAATGTCCTGATATCTATTTCAGCCCCTTTCTGTCCTCCCATCTCACTCGTTTTCTTTGTGTCTATGTAGGATTGGTCTCCCGATAAAGGTCAGATAGGCTTTTTCCAAGGTGTGCAAAGGAGGCCTCTTCCAATACATATAACCTTGTTATGTGGAACGAAGGTCCTTTGAGGTTGAGAAACAGTATTATTTAAAGAATGCCGATTACCTGGATTTAGGGATGTCTCCAGAAACAAACTTTTTATCACAGAAAACTCTCAGGACAGGGCAAACAAAGAACAAACCCATGAAATCTGCAGAGCTAAGGCTATCAGAAAGTGGGAGAGGGAGCAACGAGGAGGGTGGGAGAGGATTATTAAAATTTTGGTGGTGGGCATGGCATGATGATACATTTGCGGAGGTGTGGACCTATACCCTAAAACATTGTGTTGTAAGCCAATCTTACCACAATAAACAAAAAAGGCAACCATCCAAAGGCAAGGTTTTGTCGTATGAAGTCATTTCCCTTATAAGAAACACCCTCTGTCCCTAACATCCAAGGCCCCTCGGCACAGAGTTTAAACCCTTGGTTTCCTTTAGGATTTACAGCTATGTAAATTCTCCATACACATTATTAAATTGGGTCTTTTTCTACTAACCTGTGTGATGTTAATTTGTCTAACAGCCTCAGAAGAACCCAGAAGGGTCAAGAAATTTTCCCCTGCACCTTTACATCTGCATCTTCTCTCCCAGTCTCCTTTGATTTGAACGTCTCACTGAACACATACCTACTAATCTCTCTGACTTCCCTTTCTCAGTTTTATTTTCCTACTTTCTAGCATTCTCATGATTTTATTCCCTTTCTGCCCTCACCCCCTTCAAAAGGGGCCTTTTCCATCTCTCACCCTTTGCATAGTCCTTTCCCCATACACCATTCACCCTCATTAAATCCCATGTCTCTCAGTCCCTCATTGTGTGACCCCATCCTGTACCCCATGATCCTCATCTGGTTCCAGACCCACATATATCTTTATACCTGCTATCCTCCAGAATGATAATCACCAGGTGCTCCAACTGCTTGTCTTTGGCCTTTATCCAGCCCCTCTCCAACTTGATTCTCTGAACCCAGTTCTTTTGTCCCATGAGCTCCATCCCCTTCATCACCTCCATCCCCCTCATCCAACTCTCTCCACTCTGTAGCACCTCCCTCACCCCCACTTTGTGCTATCCCCCAGTGCTACTCACCCTTTTTGCTCTGTTTCAAACTGTCAGTCCCCAACTTGTCCACCCTCCGTGTGCCATCCCTACCTGCTGCTCCAACCCAGCTCCTCTTACCACCCTCTGTGTATCAAGTCCTCACCTACCATTCTGCCCTGTCCCTCGTTTCAGCCTTGTTTATCTGACTAGCTAAGTCCTCCCCCCTCAACCCTCACATTGTAAATTTTGGTTAAATGCTAAAACACTATTTTCTGGACACTGACGCTGGCTATCACCATCATGAACATGGAAGAAAAGGGAAGGAGAAATGCAAATTTTAAATTGATAGGATTTTTCAGTACATTTTACTACTACTATGAATAGTAGTAAATTTTAAAGTGTCCGCTCACTGGATAGATCAGTAATTCTTTCATGTTGGCTGCCCTGGGGCCCCTTCTGGGACATACCTAAGGGATGGTCCCTCTCAGCGGGCACATTGAAGGAGATCACTGACCATGAGTCCAGAGCCGGAAAATTTTGGCCACGCTTTTCAGTAGCACATAGTTCAGGTTGCACTTTTACCCAGGATTCATGATTTGTGAAAATATAAATACTCCTTTTCAGTTCCTGAAGTTTGGTTACACCAATAGCAATAACTGCAGCACATCGCTGTACATAGCATTATAGCCTGAAGACGGGAAATGTAGCAAAGTGTACACTGAAAGGTCTCTTGTGATAGCCACTATTCTGAAGTCTGATTGGCAAGGTTAAAAGGATATCATGAGGGCCTCCCCAGTGGCGCAGCGGTTGAGCGCTGGGTTGCGAAGCTGCCCGCGGCCTCTGCGGTGCCGGTTCGATCCCCGGCTGCTCCCCAGCCACCGGAGGAGGATCCCGCATGGTGCGCAGACCTCTCCTGCCGCCCGCTGCTCCCCTCAGCAGTGTACTTCGGTCCTTCTGCCTGTTCTGCTCCCTTCTCTGGCTCTGGTGAATTCTCTCACCCTCCCGCGCTTCTGACTGTACCCAGTGCATGTATAAACAAAACAAACAAACAAATAAATAAATAAATAAAACATGCCTCTATTAAAAAAAAAAAAAAGTTAAAAAAAAAAAAAAAAAAAAAAAAGGATATCATGAGTTCGTCATAGTCTCCAAATCTCATGCATTTTCTGAACACGTCCAAATAAAATTTTTTCCTAAAAGATTTAGGGATATAGAATTTAAATAACTGAAAAATATTACATTCTCAAAGGTTATATTCCTATTAATTTTATTATTTGTCACAAAAGCTAGCAAACCATGAGTTACAAGTATTAAAATGAATTCTATTGTGCTGCTCATTATTGATGGGGATTTCCAGTTTTTCTATTCTTGTCCTCCAATCATCATTTACTTATTTATAAACATTTGATTGAGAAAAAATACATGTATTAAATCAATTGCTGTTTACCTGTAAAGATAAAATTGGGTCCACATTTGATGTCTGTCCTAAGAAAATCCCAAATGTATCTCACCCAAATGTTAAATATGAAAGTCTACAGAAGTACTAAGAGTATCCATTTACATGGGTCAAATTCCTTTGTATCTGAATGGGGAAAGGCTTTTTTAAAAAAAAAATTATTTTTATTTATGTATATAAGAACTGGGGTGTAGGCCAGCGATGAGAGGATTCACCAGAGACAAAGTGGGGGCAAATCTACTGAAATACAATGCTGAGGGGAGCAGCAGGCAAGAGAGAAGCAGTCTGCCAGGCAATGTGGGTTAGCTGCCTGGCCAGGGATTAAGCTCATGCCACAGTGGCTGGCAATAGCTTGATAACACTGAGACTTAAACCCCTGCATCTCTAGGGAGACCCTGAATGGGGAAAGGCTTTCTAACTTTAATTTGATCTATATGCAATAAAAGAAAATTTTAAATTCAACTATATAAAAATCACACAATGCAATTATTTTTTAAACAACAGAGGCAGCTGATTACTGTGAACTGTTATGGAGCAACTTCTAGGATGGTATCTGACTCTTTCCACTGAAGAAACACAGGAAAGAGAATCAGAAATGCATGGAACAAAATTTGCTACCCACAGAGGGTGCCTGGGTGGTAATGAGATGGAAGGGTTAAAGACTAAGTGACACTTTTCTAACTGTATCTTTTTATGTATTTTTACTTCTAGAACCTTTGTTAATATTCCATATTTTCAAGAAATAATATTTAATCAACAATGAGGAAAAACTTTAAGATTGTTTTCTGTAATCTTTAGTGTCAATCAATATGATCCAACTCTTTGTATTAAGGCTTGCCCGGTGAGACAGTGACTACCTATATTCCAAATCCCAAACTGGCCTCCACCCTCTCTTCCCAAAGCACCTAGAAGTTTCCACCTTTTCCCTCACTTCTCTCACCAAGTAATCAAACTGTCCTAAATGAAAAAGGATTGCCTAGGAGAGCAAGAAAGTTAAGGAACCCAGCTCTTCCCAAATTATCAGAGGAATGAACTCCTGTCTCCAAGTACAGAAACCCTAGAACAAAAGACATTATTAGCATTTCTTTGCCATTGCAGCCCCCTGCTGGTGTAAAAGAAATATGGCGATTGTGCTATTTGCTTATCCTCTGTTTATGCTGGGAGAGGAAATTTGATAAGCTGTCATCACTAAAGATCTCTGATCCAAACTTTCCTTGCTCATCTGTCACCTCTGTCCACACTGAGGTGTCCGGAAATGTTGGAAAGGAAAACTAAAGACTTTTTCTTTGGTTTTCATTAGACTACTTGCTGTGTTCTCTTCTTGCTCTATATACTCCTTTATTTCTCTGGCTGCTCTTCAGGTTCTCTCCCAGGCCCTCCAAAGTTCTAGCCTAAACCCTCTTCTTTCTATAAGTTTATCCCTTTAATATCTGTATAGCTTTTATCAGTGCATTGAGAATCTCCCAAACACTTCATCTCCAGTGCTCCAGATCTACATTTGAAATTATTTACCAAGAACTCCACTCAATTTCTTCTGGCACTGCAAACTCATTATGTCCTAACCTGTATTCTTCATTTTCCATTTGTTAAGACAAATCCAAAAACTTGGAAATAAGGCCAAAGATTCACTGAGTGTCCTTTCTGCTATATCTCACACTAGAGCATTGGTTCTTCAAATGTGGTCCCCGACCAGGCAGCATCAGCATTGCTTGGGAACTTGTTCAAAATGCAAATCCTCTGGTTCTATCCAATATCTACTAAGTCAGGAACTGTGGGGGTGAGACCCAGAAATCTGTGGTTTAACAAGCCCTCTGGTGATTCTGATGATCACTCAAATCTGAGAATTACTGAACTAGAGATGGGCAATCTAGGGTCTACAGGTCAATTCCGGTCAAATGCCTGTTTTTATTTTTTTTAAAGATTTATTTTATTTATGCGTACAAGAGCTGGGGTGTAGGCCAGCGGTGCAGGAGGGTGAAGGCATTCACCAGAGACAGAGTGGGGAGCAGAACAGGCAGATTGACCAAAATGTACTGCTGAGGAGAGCAGCGGGGGAAGAGAGGAGAGGTCTGCTGTGCCATGTGGGTAACTCCCTGGCAGGGGATTGAACTTTTGCTGCAGTGGCTGCAGATAGCTTCATAGTGATGAGACTTAACCCTTTGTGCCACCAGGGAGGTCCAAATGCCTATTTTTACAAGGTTTTACTGGAACATGGCTGCATTATGGCATTCATTTACTTATCATTTATCACTGCTTTCGCTCTACAACAACAAAAGTGAACTGGGTAGTTATGACAGAAATTGTAGGGACCTCATTGCCTAAATATTTACTATCTGGTCTTCACAGAAAAAGTTTGCCAACCATTGGAATGGAACACCCTCTACCAAACCCTCCTGAGGGTGATCAGTTGTCACAGGAAGGTGACTTATTATTTATTATGAAGTTGGGCCCAGAGTCTGTAAAATTGGCTGTTAATAATGGAAGATTGATGACTTGTCTAAGTGTCATCTTTTTAATTTTTTGAAATGTGTATTTTGATACCAACAAAAGCAAATTCCTCTTATATTCCCTGTCTCTGTCATAAATCTCCTTCAATTTCCTTGTTACATGGGTTTGAACCCCAGCACCTATCCCAATTCCTTCCTTACTCTTCAAACAAATCAGTCTCCAAATCTCAATGGTTTCACCTTTCAGAAATTCTCAGAACCTTACTCTGTATTCTTTTCCCATGATGAATTCCAGAGTTTAAGCCCCTATTCCCTTTTCTGTACTTTTACAAAACGTCTATGAGATTCTTTATAATCAGTCTAGTCTATGAGGCAGCAGTAAAAATCCCCAAGGAAGAGTTCTTGTTATTTCACGCCTCTGCTAAAAACCCTCTGGCAGTTCCTTATTGCTTAATAGTAATGGGGAAGTTCTAGTTCTTTAGCCATTCCGCACCCACCTCCATTTTAATTTAGGTGCACAGCATAATATATGACATATGTATATATTGTGACATGATCACCACAATAAATTTAAGATGGACTCTCTTAGCAACTTTCAAATATGCAGAACAGTGGTATGAAATACAGTCTATACATTAAATGCTAAACATTTACCCCCTAGTATTTATTAATCTTATACCCGGAAGACGTTATCTTTGGATCACCTTTACCCATTGTTCCCAACCCACCTTCCTTAGTCTGTTCTCTACAATTTGACCAAGTTTCCTTTTCCTCCATTCCATTTGCCTTCCTTCCTGGGCGCCTCTGCCTTTCTTGTGTCCCTCTGTCCTCTTTTGCATATCCAAATCTAAGAATTTTTTTTAATATTTATTTTATTTATGCATACAAAAGCTGGGGTGTAGTCCAGAAGTGGAGGGTGGGTGACAGATAGAGACAAAGTGGGGAGCAGAACAGGAGGATCTACTGCAATACACCGCTGAGGGGAACAGTGAGCGACATAGGAGAGGTCTGCTGCGCCATATGGGTTGTTCCTCGGCCAGGGATCAAACTCATGCTGCAGTAGCTGCTGATAGCTACATAGGTTGTGTCTTAACCCCTTGTGCCACCAGGGAGGCCCCTGGTCTTTTAGTTTATTAAGAAACATAAGCAACACACACGTTTCTTTAACCAAGAGTTATATTAGTATTTAAATCCTAAGATATCCCAAACCAATCAGAAAACAAAGGAAGTTATGACACCTAGGAGACAAGTCATGTTGTCTCCTAGCTAATGACTTTCACGCCCATGACATTATAAAAAAGTGTTCATCTATATGGATGGATTTCTCACCAGTATAACCTGGAGATTACATACAGAAAAGTTGAACTAATTGTACAGTAGACATATAAATACTACACCATTAACTTGCTACTGCAGTTGTTTATTCACAAGTCTTTTATCTCTGTATTCATTAGTCCATTTTATATTTTTGATGACTTTCAAACATCAATAGTGTCTGCTTTGCAATATCAGTGACTGAAGAATAACAGGGCAATAAATCTTTGTAGTCCTGGCGAAAACAAGTGACTTCATTTTCCTGTGTGGCATTGGTGGTTGCTTGGTCTCTGCAAGGCATTTAGATACATTTAATCAAAGACTGAAGGATAGTTTTGACTGGAGGTAGACAGCCCCTACACAGTGGTTATCTATTTGTCTCTATTCATTTGAAGGGGAGCTATTGTTTTGTTACTAGAAGAAGAAAGGGAGGTCTGGGGCCATGCAGCAGCCAGAAGCTAGTGTACAAGAAGAGAAGAGTACAAGAGGATGGCGGCAGTGATCCCTCCCTACCTCCATGGGTTTTGATGCTAAATTTTGTGGGGTGAGTGGTTAGCTGCAAGGTTGCATCAGATTGCCTAGCCCTGAGTTTCTGTTGCCCCTCACTGTTTGACCTTGGATGTGATATTCAGTTTGTTTTTTTTAAAGATTTTTTTTTTTAATGCATACAAGAACTGGGGTACAGGCCAGAGGTAGGGGGAGGATGTGTGAGAGGATTCACCAGAGGCAGAGTGGGGAACAGAATAGGCAGACTGAAAAACACTGCTGAGGGGAGTAATGGGCGAGTCAGGAGAGGTCTGCTGCACCATGTGGGTAGCTCCTTGGCCAGTGATGGAACTCGTGCTGCAGAGGCTGCGGATAGCCTCACAGTGCTGTGTGTAACCCCTTGAGGCACCAGGAGGCCCAATATTCAATTTTTTGACCTGAGTTTCTTCATCTGCAAAATGGAATTATAAAAAAGAAAACAACAGGTCCAAAAATGAAATGGTTTTGCTGAGACCAACAAAACTTAAAACCTAACCTCATGACAGTTTTGGCCTCTCCCAAAAGTGAAAATTTAAATCAATCAATCTGGGATGAGTTTCCAGGTCAGTAATTGTGCAGGAATCTGCACGAGACCCCCTCTGCCTTTTCCTAAAAGAAGGTAGCTTTGCCTGAATCCTTTTCTTTTGCTAATGACCTTGTGCCACCCTCTTTCAGACTTTTAAAACCTTTCATTTTGATTAACTTCTTTGCAGTCTCTTTCTACTTATTAGATGAATGCTGTCCAATTCACGAATCATTTCATTTAATAAAGCCACTTAGATCTTTAAAATTAACTTGGCTGGATTTTAGTTAACAAATGTAATGATAGCACCTACAGCATACTGTGAAAATATGTGTGCCCGACTTGTAACTCAATTGCCAAAATAAAATTACACGCATCTAAGAGTTTCCTTAAGTCCCCACAAAATTAACATGGGACTACAGCAGCTGGTGAGCAAGAAAGAGACGAGTGAATTAAATGATTTTAACAAGCAGAAAAGGAATTTAGAGAGATGCAGAAGAGAGTCTTTCTTGACAGCCCATGACACTTAGAACTAAATACAATTTATTTCCTTGGCCTGCAAAACCCCTACACTATTTAATCTCTGTCTCCATCTCCAACTTCATCTCTTCTCCTCCCTTATTTGTTCAGGCTGAAGCCCTTGGTTTCAGAATGAGCTTCGATCCTTCTCATGACATTTGAATTTATTGCTCCCCTTTGACGAAAGCCTCTCCCCAGGTTTTCTCGGGCGGTTTCAGAAGGGGAAGGCTTAGGGCAGGAGGGGGCGGGGCGATCGGGAGGCGGGGCGACCGGGGGGCGGGGCGACCGGGGGCGGGGCGGAGTCCAGCGGAAGCGGGGGCGAGGCCGGAAGTGCCGGGCGCGGGGGACTTCCGGGGCCGGTGAGATCGGCGCAGACACTTCATCGGCCGCCGCCTGCCCGGGCCCTGCGCGATGGAGAACGGGCGGGTGTACGGTGACACCACAGAGGCGGATCCGAACCCCGACAGGGGCCCCGAAGGAGCCTCGCCAGGTTCTTTTATCTGGGCCGGCTGAGTCTGTTTCAGCGAGTGTTCAAACCCTTACAGCTGGTGAGTCCGCTGGGGTTGGAAGCGGGGTCGGTGATGGGGGGTCGGAGATGGGGGCGCTGATGGGGAGGCCTGCCTGCGGGCTTGGGGGCTGCCGGGACGCTCCTCCTCCACTTAGTTGTTGAGGAAGCTGCTCTTTCCACACCCCGGGTTACTTCTCTTGCGACTGGAGAGGTGGGCGTTCCTCTCCTCGCCCCACCCCACCCCCTTTCCGTGGGGCGGATGCCTCACCCACATGCCCCTCGCCGCCCCGGGAGCCCCCAGATGGCGACCCCGAGGCACCCCGCGCCTTAGGCGGGCTCAGGAAGTGCGTCGCAGCAAACCCAAGTGTGCCGCTTAGGTTTCTTTCCCCATCCTCTGCAGCCACAGGCCTCTCTGCTCCCCGATGTCTCTCCGCATTATCTCCCAAAGTGCCTGTATTTAGACTATGAAATGCTTTTTATCTCTCTAGTTCTTGCGGTTTTCCTGGTGCAAACTCATATGGAAGCACTTTAATTTTTTTTAAAGTAACTGAACTATATTAACCCAATTTAATAATTGCATAACTCTTGTCTTTAATGCTAGTTGTAATGCCTCCATTATTCAATTTATTTTTTTTTGAGCAATTTTATATATTTTTTACATTATTTTTCATTTTTGCACAATGTATGCATTTTCATCTTGGTTATAGTCCCCATACAATTCCCACCCCAACCCCCTTGTTTTGATCCTACTCCCTCCTCCCCGCCCTGTTGTGTGTCTCTGGTTTATAGTTGCTTGTTGATTTTGATTTTTACTTTATTATAATTAGCCTTTTTCCTGGTCCCTTATTTAGGTTTTCTAAATTCCTGCTATGAGTGATACCATCTGGTATTTTTCTTTTTCTTTCGGGCTTATTTCGCTGAGCATGATGCCTGGAAGCACTTTAATTTTAATCGGCAGTCTTCTGCCACACACAACACTGATGTGTGTGTGTTCAATGCATTGTCTCCCCAAAGTTTTATATTGACTGGAAGAAAATGGTGTCTGGATGTGCAGTATGTATTTGTACGAAGTAAAAATCAAAAGGACAGCTTTTTGGTTTATGTGCAGGTAGCAGAACCAACTCATGCATCTCTTCCATCTCATTGAGTTTCAGTTTACCTTAGGCAGTTAAGTGAACTGACAATGAAAATATTGAAATATCCTTGAATTTAAATGTTACTTCAATTTACACACACATCGAGCTCCTATGTCGTCTTAACCAACGATGAACATTTTCTGCAAAAGGAGCAATCATGTTTATGTATTGATTCATTTTTTTTCCTTCACCATCCCAAGTAAAAATAGCTAATTGGTTTCCTTGAGAAGAACTTATATTCTTAGAACTCAGAAAACCAGAATTTATATTCTTAGAATTCAGATGACCTACTTTTATTAAATAGAAAAATAGCAGTCAGAAAACTGGCACTACCTTTAGTGACCAAAGTGATCCTATCAGAGAATAAATGAGAAATCACTTGGAGGCAGAGGACAGGGTGGCTCATGAGGGTCTGGCTCTGTCCATCTCTCCAGCCTTCTTGTGGGTAATTCCACATTCACAACCTTGAGGTTTTCACCAGGGATCAGTGACTCCCTCCTGTCATTGTTCCTTTGCATAAACTCTTCCTTCTATCTAGAATGTTTCCTTTTATGGGCTCAGGACTTCTAGATATCAGCTGTATTTAGAGTAATGAATAGAAAAGTTTATAACAAAGGAATTAATACTCATCTAAAGTGTTCTTGCTGTTCAAAAGATGTCAGGATTGGCCTGCTGCCCATTAAATCTCCTGTTTTCAGTTGCCTTTATTTTTCCTTCCTACTCAGAAATGGTAAATGATGTTCTCACCCCACCAGCAAATGCACATTGTGTTTATGGTCCCTGTTGAATGTCCTGATGGCTGCGTATTATTGTGATTATAATGACTCTTCAAGACTGCTTGATTTAGAATTGACCAGTGATTTAAATTTATTAAATTATAAATAATGTTGCTTTTTTAAGTGCCAAGAAACAAATCACTTAGAAACAATGTTTATTGGTGCTCTTTTCATTATTTAAATGTGAAAATTTGTATGTGTGTGCTAAGTGAACTGTTCTGTTTTTCCCTTGAGGAAGCTGCATACTGTCAGCAAATTATATTGCTGAACCTTTGTGAGAGTAAATGTTTGCCTAAGGTAAGGGACACCTAGCCTAACTTTCAGGCTGACAGCTTTGTTTACTTGAGCCTTACCCATAGCTTTTAATAGCAAGTTAATAAATTCATAAATCATTATGTTTTGTATCTGTAGCCTTATAATTAATGACAAACACAAGAAAGTTCTTTTTATAAAGGTTCTTTTAGTAGACTGTTAAAGACAAATTATGGCAAAATAGTTTTAATACAGTGACTGTTAATTTTAAGGCAAACTGAAGTTTCAGAAAAGGTAGTGAAACTGAAATGGAGAGACACAGGGTAGTCATTATCTGAATGTTTAAATCACCAAGTCACCAGAACTGTGAGTAAGACCATCTTTTAGTCCCTAGCATTTCCCAAATATGTTAACCCCAGCAAATTGGTTTTAATGTGTGATTTAACAGCAGAAAGGGAAATGCACAAAATTAGGGTGGTAACCTCAAAAACTGGTTCTTACAGGGAAAACCTGCACAAACAGAGCTGTAAAATAATCTTCATAAACAGTGTTTTGTGGGGGGAAACATGTATAGGGGAGGCAGGAGATGTGGGGTTTTGTCTGTGTCTGGCTTACTTGGGATTTCCCTGGTCAGAGATGAAGTGCATGGTCTGTGAACATGAGGGTGGGAGGCCATACACTCTCCAAGGGCCCTCCTAACTGTGAAAGCTGGGTAATTCCCTTAGTTATATTTGGGTAAAATTTTATGTCATTAGAAGGCACTGTACTGGGTGCAGAGTAGTTAGGTACTTAAAAATCAGTAAGCAATATTTGAGTGTGATGACTTCATGAAAGCAAAATTATTTACTGGAAATTAATAATAAAATCTTTTCATTTATGGTGACATTCACCATTTTATCTTCTTACCTAGTTCAGTGACCTTCCACTTTCCTCTCCTTGATCACTTTGTTATTTAACGCTGGTGACTACTCATTTTTGATAATCTTCCATCCACTAACTTTCACGTTTTTTCTTTCATTAATAACAAAAAGTGTCTGCTTACCAAAGAAAGTCATGTGAAAAATACGATTAAAATAAGCTGTGTGCTATCCCCCCTCATACTCCTCATGATTATCGATTGATTAACCATTTGGAATACGTTTACTTGCTTTTTAAGGAGTTTCCCCAAGAAGTATTCACTTCCTAAGGCTTGCTTGTCTGGTGCTGGTTTCTGGTTGTTCTTTTCCCTCCTATTCCTGCATGTGGTGTTCTTCAGGCCCCACCTAGCCCTCTGCTGCTCCTGTCTTCTAACCAACTAAACCAGGCAGACAATCTGTTGCCTTTATCTGGAAGTCCATACTCTGGCATGATGATCACATAGCCACACCCAACACTTTCACCATTTTTCTCATCACTCCCCATCCAGTTAAGTCAGTTGTCTTTCGGGCTGAACGTACAAATGCTTGCGTTCTGAATCTGTTCCACCTCTCTCCCCGTCCAAAGACCTCTGCCTATCCAGATCCTCTGTTTCTCTTGGCCCTGATTTGAATCTTTCCCACTCATCTGCCTTCAAACTGCTCTTAGTCCAAATGAATCTGAACATCTTCCTGAGATTTTTCTGAATTTACATGTAATAAATGCTTAATTGTGAGGTACAAAATATGTTGGCTTCTTGTTTCATGCTGTTGTTGTCGTTACATGTTGCTATACATAATTTTCAAATACACTTTGCTTTGTGCTAGAGACTGCGTAGTGCTTTGGGAGATTATAAAAGTAGTATCAAGACACAGGGAGTCAAGAGAAAATTATACACCGACTATGGCTTGTTGTGCTAATTTGTCTTTAACTGAGGGTACTAACTAGTAAATGGCCAAACTTGACATTGAACCTCTTCAGTCTCTTAGGGTTTCCGTTCTGGATCCACCTGTTAATATTGCTCTGAGGTTTATGGGCAGTAAGAATGATTCCTGTTAGTAAGTTTGGAACAGCACTTGTTATGACTTGGTATTGACTGCTTCTGGCCAGGCTAAATACTGCCCCTTTCTTTCCAAGCAAAGGAAAGTAGTAATATCTACTTCTTCAGTATCTCCACTAGATAGATTTATCACCATGTAGTTTACACAGGTGACTATTCCTAATCTAAATATTGTAGTAAGGATGGTTCAAGAGCAGCTGTTCTCAAACTTAAGTTAGAGCTTTAGGCTGATACCATCTCACAGTTGATTGACTTTCATACACCCAAAGTATTGTTTTGCAAGTTTCTCAGAGACACTCTTAAAACTTGGAGGTGATTTAACATAGAGGCAAGAATAAAGCAAAATGGAATATTAGGTATTTAATATTTTATTATATCACAATCATGTAAAAACTCATCTTTAATTATAGGAGACTAAGAAAGTACTCTCACACAGTGACCTTCTGGAATTTGTCTTGGCGTGTGTCTCATTATATCCTGTGATCGAACGCTGGGTAACACCTCACCTAACATCTCTTTGAAGTTGTTTGCGATGTACTGGACTATTTTATGTCTTACTAACTTATAGGATATCATACTGATAGGATCTCTTTTTTGTCCTTGTAGATTTCTTTTCACTTGTGGGGACATGTGAATTCTGCATTGCCAATACCAGGGGGAGAAATCCCCTGGAGGCTTAAATACCAATTTATTGACTTTTTAAAAATTTTTTCAAATATTTATTTTATTTATTTATGCATACAAGAACTGGGGTACAGGCCAGAGGTGTAGGGAGTGAGAGGATTCACCAGAGAGTGATGAGAACAGGCGATCTACTGAAATACACTGCTGAGGGGAGCGGCGGGCCATGCGGGCAGCTCCCTGGCCAGGGATGGAACTCATGCTGCAGTGGCTGCGGGATAGCTTCACAGTGCTGAGACGTAACCCTTTGCGACACCAGGGAGGCCCCAACATTTTTATTATACTATGAAATGTACCTGTTGTTTTGGTAGCAGTCTGGTCGCCATTAAAGTACCTGGTTGCTTCTGATGGTCTGACTGGGTGAGATAAGGGATTTCCCGATAGACTTTGACTTGGGTCAGCCAATCATTTTGATGGTTTTAATGCTTAGAAGGAAACTCCCTTAGCTCTACACAAACCCCACACAAACTGCCCAAGTGAACCTCTCTTCTCAGTCTTCCCTCCTCTATCTAGCTAAAGGAGTTAACCCCAAACTTGTTCTGTTTTAAAGGCTCTACCTTTAGAAGAGCCTCTTTTCTTCCTATGTCTTTATACCCACCCATCTTACTGGTTTCTGCCTAAGCATTTAAACATTCTCATTTCTCTCCTGTCTTGAAATTCCCTTCCCCTTGACCTCATCCATTCCTGCACTTTGGAAACCACACTTCTTGTATCTGCTGTTTCTGTCTCACTGCCTTGTCTTCCCCTCAATTCCCAATTTACAGTTCTTTAACTTTCCCTGACTGACTGCACTGAAATTGTCTAGCTGATAGCACCAGCAGCTTTCCTGTACCCAGTCTAATGTGTTTTAGTGTTCTCACTTGACCTCTGTGTGTAGCGTTCAACACAATTGATTACTTTCTCTTTGTAGAACTACTTTTTTCTGGTCTACTATTCCTTGGACTCTTGTTCCAAACTGTCTTTGTTGGTTTGGTGTCTCCAGCTTTGCATAGCCCTTAATCTTGGGATTCCTCAGAGTTCTATACAAGGCCAATTGCTTATTCTAGGTGACCTCTGCCTCTCATTGGCCCGTTCCTACATCTTGATAACTTCTTCAGATCTCTCTCCTAAGTTCTGGACCTACATATCCAATTACATCCTAAACATACCCCCACCTACCTCTTCCAGAGCCCTCAGATTACAGCATATCTAAAATTGAATTTATTTTCTTTCCAGAATCCTTACCTCTTAAAAAGAAAAAAAAAAAAAAAAGCCTCCCTTTTTGCAGTGAGGCACTAGTGTGTTAATACCACTTATACAACAGTGGGCGCCACTATCAAAACTCACTTGCATTACGTTGCTAAGTTAACCCAAAATCAGTCTTCCTTCTCTGTGCTAAGCATTCTGACCCCTGCCTGCTTATCATCGATAGCCACAGCCTATAGGCAGGCCTCCCTTGAGCACTTCTGCCCTTGTACCTGTCATTAGTTGAATTGTACTGTTCCCATACCTGTTTATACTAATTACTTTATACTAATTATACTTTTAATGGTCAGACAATTAAGCCAGTATTACACAGACTGAAACTGAACGTGGAAAGGAATTGTTTCTCTGAAAACTAAATTGAATGATTTGGGAAGACGGAAAATAGTTCCTGTGAAATTAAAGAGCAAGGCAACTGTGAAAGACTAGTAAAACTAGTACAGGTCTAGAAGGATTTTTCAGCTGCATCTTTCAGTGAGTATCCACTTTACTCTTTCTCCTTTACTACTTTCCTAGTCACTGTCTTTCCCCTGATATCCTAGATCAGTTTCCTAACAAGATGTCTGCTCAACTTTTTGCCCTACTTCTAGTTACATCTCCGTATTGTAGCAAGATCTACTGAAAACATAAGTCTGATCATGTCACGTTTGCTTTATAACCCTTAAAACCAAATTCCTTAAAATAGTGACAGTACTTAGACATGGCCTGGACTTAACCTCTCTAGTCTCATTTAATAATTTTTATTGTGTTGCCATCCCCTTTCCTCATATGTGACACCTTACCGGTGTTGACTTTCACAGTTCATGTGCGGGTGGTAGGATATATCTGTGTGCATTGGGATGGGGAATGCCATGCTTTTTCACCTCTAGGTCTTTCTGTGTACTACTCCTCTATCTGGAACTTCTTTTCCTATCTTTTACCCCCCCACCCCATCCCCAAATTGACCTTACTGTCTTTTTAGGTCTCAACTTTCCTTCAAGAAGCCTTTCATGATTCCCAAGTTGATTGCATCTTCCGTAGGCTTTTAAAACAGCACCCTGGACCTCCCTGGTGGCGCAAGAGGTTAAGTCTCAGCACTGTGAAGCTATCTGCAGCCACTGCTGCTTGGAGTTAGATCCCCTGCCAGGGAGCTGACCCACATGGTGCAGCAGACCTCTCCTGTATGGCCACTGCCCCCCTCAGCAGTGTATTTCAGTCTGCCTGTTCTGTTCCCCCCTGTCTTTGGTGAATCCTCTCACCCCCTGCAGCTCTGTCCCGCACCCCAGCTCTCATATGGATATTTAAAAAGCAAAACAAAACACCACCACCACCCTGTGTTTGTCATATTCTGACATGTCACACGGTATTTGTGTTCCTAAGTTCCCTTCAAAACAACCAAGCTAGAAGTTCTTTGTAAGTGTTGTTTGTTCAGTAATCTTGTTTGCCGGAGTCTCCACTTTATAATTGAGTGAACAGATGGTGTTTTCTGAATATATCTGAAAAGCATTTAAGTAAAATGTTTTGTATTTTTCTAGTTGCTATCTCTGCTGGCCTTTATCTGTGAAGAAGTGGTATCACAGTGTACCTTGTGTGGAGGACTTTACTTTTTTGAATTTGTAAGCTGCAGTGCCTTTCTCCTGAGTCTCCTGGTGCTGATTGTGTACTGCACTCCAGTTTATGAAAGAGTTGATAAGGATAAAGTCAAGTCATCGGTAAGCATGAAAATAATATAATCCCTATACTAAGAAAGTAGCTATTTTGGAATCTTGTGTAGTTTTATTGTTCACGGTAATAATGCTTTCAGAACTCAGTAACATGAGAAGACATTCTTCATTATGCCAACTCTGCCTGTAAACAACTGTTTTTCCTGCCAAATGGGGTCATAGAGGGGGTTATTAGAATGAGTGACAAAAAATGTCAATAGTTTATAATTACTGGTCTTTTAATCTAATCTGATTTTTTTAAACTAGGGTTTTGTCACTTTTGATTTCTTACATTTTAGAGTGCCATTTATTGGCTCTCCAATTGTTTATTGTGTACCTGTTAACTACAAGGCATTATATACACTGGACGTAGAGTGATAAATTAAAGTGATACATTTCTGGAGCTTTTAAAAAGAAAAGCATGTAATTCTACCTATTTTGACTTTATTAAGAAAAAGTTGCCTGTAAATGAAGAAGGCATTTGTTAAATTCATTATTTTAATAAAACTGTGTATGAGAATTTTATTTTCACAAAATTAGAGATGTTTAACCTTCTGAAAACAGTCTGCTGAGTTATTTGAATATAGTATGGATTTGTGAGATGACAAATGAGGTAATTCACATACGTACTGCATTTAAGGAAGCAAGAATTGAGCAATTTACCAATTTACTTTTTTTTTGAGCAGTTTACTTCTTGAATGGCATTTGAGTTATCAGTACTGGTTTGTAAAGAATTTTGCATGTTAGAGTTAACATTTGAAAGAATTCACATCTCTGAAGAAAAAGAGAAAACATAGGGTACATTTTTAACTATGAGGAACAAGTGATAAATGATTAAACACCAAGCAATAAGATTCTGTTATTTTAAATTGAGAAGCAAGCACTGGATTACATATTGCTTATATAGCTAAGATATTTACTTTTTTCTGTATACCCTTTTGTATATCTTGCGTTTTGTGCTGTTGGAATCCATTACCTTCTTTAAAAGAATTTTTTTAAGTTTAAAAGTTAAAAAAATGAAGCATTGATTCCAAACATTTTAAAAATGGACTAGCCAGATAGTGGGAAGTAGTGTAACTAGAATTAGTAGTCTGTCTCTACAATCTGTGTTTCAGGTTCTAGAACTATTCTGTCTCAGATTTATCTTGTTTAGATATCTCCTTGATTGTATTCCAAATAGTAATAAATAGAATTTTATATTTGTATATAGCTTCAAAGTATTCAAAGGAATAGAAAAAAACAAATTACAGTAAGAAAGACACCTCTTTTAAAGGCTAGAGAAAGCTTTTTAAATGTTTTATAAATGTTAGTGAATAACTGACAGTATAGGAATTCTGTTTGGGCCATTCTGTTGATACTTGGTTTAGTGGAGATTGCTTTACAGAAAACTCAGAAAGTATCAAACTTAAAACACTTGGGAGTGGCTATCATTTTAGTAGTTTCTCCTCTGAATCGAGTTTGTATGTCAAGCACTGTTTTCAGTTAGCATATGAGAGAGACCCTTATTAAGTAATGCCTGAGAGAGCACTTGGAAACCCATGAAGAACTTCATTGTTGTAAGCTGCATTATGAGATATGGAAGCTTTTATGTAGTAGATAAGCTCATTTTGGATTACCCACTTGGAACAATTGAAAGCTATGTGTTGTTCCAGAAAGCTTAAGTGTCTAAGAAACATACTGTTGGCATAATTTTATTTAATGATGGGTGGTTCTTTTGAGTGTCTTTTCCAAAGTGCTTTGAAGCCACTGGCGTACTCTCAGAGAGGCCATCTTAAAACAGAATAATTTGAAAGGGAAGAAAAATACCTTTTTTTCCTGAAAGTAAGCTGGAATTTAATAAATCCTGGGCCTTTTTGATAATTTTAGTACACCCCAGATGAGAAGAGGTACACCCAGCCTTTTTGGGGAGCTGCTTTTATTGAAATATATTATCTTGTGATATACTCTGTAAATATGCCCAGTATCCACAAAGTGTGCATAGTGCTCCTTTGCTGAATGGTCTCTGTATGCCACACTTAATGAACAGATAGAAATTGAAGTAGGTAAGTTTGGACTGTGTCAGGGAAAAAGAAAAAAGTAAAGTGTTTTAAATGGAAAAAAAGAACATTTTCCATCCAACTAACCAGGCTATATTCCTTATCTGTTTTATATGTATGTATAGGATTTTTATATTACTGTGGTAACAGGATGTGTGTTTTTGTTGGCGTCCATCATTTTTGTTTCCACGCATGACAAGACCTCAGCTGAATATGCTGCAATTGTAAGTGACTTACATTTTTATCTTTGCTTATTTTTGCTTTGCTAGAAATAGGAATTTGGAAAGTTACACAAGGTGGGAGAGTAGTCTTTTTTTTTTAAAGATTTATTTATTTATGCATACAAGAACTGTGGTACAGGCCAGAGGTGAGGGGGGTGTGGGGATTCACCAGAGAGAGTGGGGAACAAAACAGGTAGATTGACTGAAACACACTGCTGAGGGGAGCAGCGGGCAAGTCAGGAGAGGTCTGCTGCGCCATGTGGCTAGCAGCCGTGTGAGATGGAACTGGTGCTGCAGCGGCTGCAGAAGTCTCATCGGCTGCCTCTCAACCCCTTGCGCCACCAGGGAGGCCCTTACCTTAATTTAGTGTAAATCTGAATAGAAGACCTGAGAACAAATATGTAAGATAGCCTTAAGAACCTAGAATCTGTCTTTGGAATTTGAGTTTTGTTAAAAACTCATTCATGGGCCTCCCCGGTGGCGCAGCGGTTGAGCGCTGGGTTGCGAAGCTGCCCGCGGCCTCTGCGGCGCCGGTTCGATCCCCGGCTGCTCCCCGGCCACCGGCGGAGGATCCCACATGGTGCGCAGACCTCTCCTGCCACCCGCTGCTCCCCTCAGCAGTGTACTTCGGTCCTTCTGCCTGCTCTGCTCCCCGCTCTGGCTCTGGTGAATTCTCTCACCCTCCCGTGCTTCTGACTGTACCCAGTGCATGTATAAACAAAACAAACAAACAAACAAAATAAATAAATAAAACATGCCTCTATAAAAAAAAAAAAAAAAAAAAAAAAAAAACTCATTCATGACACATATGAGCATGATATTACAAATGGAAGTAGAAGAATTGACTTCATTACCTTACGTTGCTGTTGTTTTCAGTTTCAACAAAAACATACCTATATGCTGGTACTGTTCTAGGTGTAGAGAATATGATGCAAAGGAAATATGATCCAAAGGGTCAGCCTAATAAAGAGAAGTTGAACATTTCTATTTGAAATCCTGGAGGTCAGGGGCAAATTTTTTGGGGGGAAATCAGATTATTCTGGATTTTATTTTTTAAAAGATTTATACAAGAACTGGGGTACAGACCAGAGGTGCAAGAGGGTGAGAGAATTCACCAAAGACAGAGCGGGGAGCGGAACAGGCAGACAGACCAAAGACACTATTGAGTGGAGTAGTGGGCGAGGCAGGAGAAGTCTGCCACGCCATGTGGGAATCTCCCTGGCCAGTTGGGAATCGAACCTGTGCTGTAGAGGCTGCAGACAGCTTCACAGCTTGGCGCTCAACCTGCTGCGCCACCAGGCAGGCCCTATTCTGGACTTTAGAAAATTATATATATTCTACTGAGGGCCTGCAGTAGCACCCTGTAATCCAACATATTAATATTCCTGAAGCAAACCAGAGATAATCACAGTAAATAGAACAGCTAAAGGCTGTAAATAGTTTTACCTTGTGTCAATTTTGAACGAAATGAAATCATGAAACCTGAGATGTTCTTAGCCTTTTGGATTTCAGAATTATAAATCAAGGATCTTGGATCTGAATTGGTACCAGTGTTGTGAATGTAAACAGCTAAGAACTGGCTAACAAATCACTTTGCAAATCAACTGGTTTCCAGTTAGGGATTTGTTCATAATAAAAATGAAATTGTAATTGAGTTGTTAGCTGACAGGTAATTAAAGCTATGATTTTTTTTTAAGATTTATTTATGCATGTAAGAGCTGGGGTACAGGCCAGAGGTGCGGGGGTGGGGTGAGAGGATTCACCAGAGACAGAGTGGGGAACAGAATAGGCAGATTGACTGAAATACACTGCTGAGGGGAGCAGCGGGCAAGACAGGAGAGGTCTGCTGCGCCATGTGGGTAGCTTCCTGTCTGGGGATCGAACTTGTGCTGCAGCGGCTGCAAATAGCTTCATAGGTTGCTTCTTAACCCCTTGCACCACCAGGGAGGCCCTAAAACTACTTTTATGATAAAACAACTCAAAAGGAGTTCAGAGAATTGCTTGGCTGTGATAGCTACCTATACAGGTGAGCATAATTTCTTAGCACTTATATATGTAAAAACAAAACACAGAAATAAAATAATGCTGAACCCTGACTCATTCTAGTGGTAATATTTATGGCTACATGAACCAGTTGAAGAGAAAAATCAGAGTTTGAGTAGTCTTATGATTAATGTTAGTTTATTTACATATTTTTGTTGCGGAGGTATGTAATAGGGTGATAAAATACAAGTATAAAACCAAAATTCCGTGGAAGTGAAAGGAAGTTGAGGAAAAGTTGAGTTCAAGGGAGAAGGAAAGCATGGGATAAAACCTCCAGCTATTTAAAAAAACTTAATTGTGCTTCAATTAGAAGAAATGTTAAATTATTATAGTACTTAGATTTCACTGGATATATTTAAGTGACTGTAATATGCTGGAACTTACCTTTTGCAGCTACTTATGAAAAATTTTATAGACTTAAATGAATGAGGGAGTACATTTAAGAAAACATTAACAGGTGTGTAAGCAAAAGAGCTGGAAAATCATTTGTCTGGCTTATACGTTATAGAGGGTCCTGCATGGACTGGAGTTCTTAAGGTGGTCAGAGGTGTCTTCACAAACCAGGCAACATCTGGTCAGTAAATTTACCAATCAGCAACGGGGATCGATGCCATTAAGCCAAAATAATGAGTCCAGCAAGGAGAAGTGACTTGGGGTGGGGTGGAGTGGCACTGGTAATTAAATTTAAGTTGAATGTGTTAGTGACACCAGGTAATGAATGAATTTGGAACTCAGGTTGCTGTACAGTGAAATGAGGCAGAATACCTGTTCTTCAGAGTTAAGGAACTGTATGTGAAGGGTCAAGAGACTGCAGCAGACTACAACAAAATGTTAAAAATCACAGAGCTGGAGTGTTAAGAGTTGGAAGGGTAAATTTTATCCTTTACCTCTATCAATTTTCTCTTTTCACAGAACACGGCTTTAGTTCCCATTTCCATAAGGGTTTTGCTAGTGAAAAAGCTTAATTTGAACCATGGTCTCCTGTCTCTTGACGGAGTTCTCAGAATGTTTGATCATATAGATTACAATGAGGAAGTGATTTAAGGAAGGGGGAAGTAGGTGGTGGCATCGTGTTGCTGTGTCATTACAGTGTGACAGTTAACTGGAAAATATTTTTTTTCCTAAAAGTATTTTTTCCTAAAAGTATCTTCAAATTAGAATTTGTTTTGCTATTAATAGCGTTTTCCATTTTCACATAGGCTCAGTTACCTTCTCACATGCTTTCCTTGTCTGAAGGTTAATCTCATCATTGCTAATAATCCTGTTTTGTGTCATTTTACAGGATTTTGTTTTTTCATCCATGAACCTTATTTTCATTGATTGACACCCCACATGTACACATGCACATATATAAGATGGGACATTTGTATTTTGTGATTTTGACTAATAGCCATTATTCAGGAATTTTTTCCTTTCATATTTTGGTGACTTTAAAAACTTTCTACCACTAAAGTTACAAATAAGGTCTACAAGAATAAGAAAGATGAATTGATGAATTATCTTGCTTGCATGAAACACTTTGAAATCCAAATTGGAAATGTAAGGTGATGTTCTAAAATTCCTCCTGTAACTTTACTCCATTTTCTTTCTCAGGTATTTGGATTTTTGGCAAGTTTTATGTTCCTGGCTGACTTTGGCAGTGCATTCTATGAAAAACGTCAGTCATCCCAGCAGAGAAAACCTGAGACCACCCCTGGGGACACCCTCCAACAGCCACTTAATGCCTAAAGACTCTAGGGTGCAGCTTTTACATAAGGCAGTTAACTGTGGGTTACCCCAGCCCTGGCAGAGCGCTTTTGGAAAACTGTGGGAAGGGCAAGAAGGCAGTTTTATCAATATTAGACTTTTTATCATCACCACAAAGTAGACATCAAACATCAAATTGGAATGGTTTTTTTGGAATGGTTTTTTTTTTTTTTTTTTTTAAGAGGAAAGGGCAGTTGTTTCTTTAAATCACACAGCTCAAATGGCGATAAATTATTTTGTCATTTTTACTAAATTTTTATTATGCTTTGTAGCTATACAACAACAGCATGATTTAATTCGTTTAGAAATGGTTTCATTTTAAAATTAATTTGCTTAGTTAAGAGTTTTTTGTGATTTAATGTATTTAAGAGATCAATATTTAAAATTTCCCTTTTTCCCCCCCATTTACTGTATCTCAGCCTTAAAATTATACTGTAACATTTTAGGATAATTATCACTAACTTTTTTGATACATTCTTAAGATCTCTGGGAGAGGTTGGTATTTTATATATATATATATATATATAAACAGCAACATCAGTACCCTCATGTTTATGCTGCATTTTGGTTGTTGATATTAAGAAAAAAAACCAGATTTTTATATGATACATAGAAAAATGGAAGAAACTGCATCACTAAGGACCAAAGATAAGAGTTTTTGCACAATAGAGAGAATAATTACACAAGCAGGCTTCGGCCACTTATCAAATGTCTGGAAAAGTTCACACTATGAATTAGAAAATATCAGTTCCCCATTTGACTTAGGATTATTTCTACTGAAATTAATACATCTTTGAAGCCAGTATTCTTTTGAAACCCCCGCTTTTGACTTCCTGTCCTCGTCATAATGGTCTGTATCCTGCTTCCTTGTCTGGCCGGGGTGGGCCTCTGGCTCCGACTATTTGTTGGCACTTGTCTTCAAGTGCTCCGGGATCATCTAGGGCATAGCCAGGACCTTTCAGGTTTTGTTTTTTCGTATTGCTTTAGTTTTTCTTTGGAGGAGACCTTTTTAAAGGAATTTGCTGGAGAATCTTGCCCAGGTTAATTCTGATGTCTGTGTGGAGGCAGTCACGTCATCCTCCAGAGACATTTCATAAACAGTTCTGGTAATTTGGGAGAATTGTTTTTGCTCGCATATTCTCTTTGAGCCATCCAGACAGGACACGTGGGTTAGAATCTTCCCCGAGGCCCTAGCAGGTGGTTCACAGACTTTGTCATCTCCTAGATTTTTGACTCAAGGCTATTAAGACCGTGAACCCGTGCTCAGGTCCTGCAGTGCTTTGGTGGAGGTCTCCCAGGCTAGGTTTTCTGTCTGAAATCATGTTTCTAATGAGACAGTTTAATGACCATCCTTTTTAAATTTCTCGTCTGCTGTTTCTGTGTTTTAGATGGGTTTCAGCTGTATGAGTGTGGCTAATGTGGTTCTCAAAAATTGTCATCATGACCAGACCCAACTTCTCTGTATTACTGACTCAGGACCTTATCCCACTTGTGTCAGAATTTGTATACTAGTGCTGGTGGGTGTCACCACTACCTGCTTGGGAGATAATGACACCAATCAGATACTGTTTTTACTGGATGTACCATCTAAGAGAGGAGAAATAGCCTGGGTCTTGTATCCAATAGATTGGTTCAAATATACCTGGTTTATGGTAGGCAAGCCCTGGAGTTTCATACGATCCAGTACCACTGCCATTTTAAATATCATCTTGACTTTGCTGAGAGGCACAGCAAAACATCTGGGCTACCTCCGGTTCCTCCTTCCCCTCGCCCCTGCCCCAGTGCATTGGGCTTAATTGAATTTGACATATGTCCTCAGGTGACGTCCACATACAGCATGTTGGCATTGAACTTGATCTCTTCGTGTTGAGGTCTTGCTTCCATTTGATTTCATTGATGCAGACGTGAACCTCATAGCTGACCTCATAATCTTTTCCTTTTCAATATGTACACTGTTACTTTTGCTCACTAGACCTTTCTACATGTGGTTTTTAGTCTCCCTCTTCTGTGGGAAGGCCTTATTGAAAAATAAACATTGGGTAAATAACTTTGAGAACTTGGGACCAAAACCACTGCTATGTACAGAAAATGTCAATCAGTAAGCGCAAATTAAAAATTTTTTACTAACAACGAGGGCAAATTTAATTTGTTACATTTCATACAAATAAACTATTTAGAATGGTTCTAAAAATTATGTACTTATGCAAACATTTTGTAATTGCTATGCTTAAATTATGTGCCTGGAGATTGGGACATTATTTTTACACTGTTTATAGCCAATCATTTTTGTATTTATCAATTTAAATTCTGTGGGGGTCAGGTTTTTTATTAAAAAATCTGAGTGTCTAATTTTGTAGTCTTTTTAAGTAAATCAATTTTATTAAAATGTCCATGTTTAGCAAATGCTTTTTCTGAGTTCTGGGAGTTGGCTCTATAGCCTTGGTGAGTACCTTTCTAGAGGCTGGACTGTGGATCCTACCTGGTGTGGGCATGGGAGAAAAGAATGAAATCCAGTTTCTACCCATGGGCTATCTTTTTCTTTTTTTTTTTTATAGAGGCATGTTTATTTATTTATTTGTTTGTTTGTTTGTTTGTTTTGTTTATACATGCACTGGGTACAGTCAGAAGCGCGGGAGGGTGAGAGAATTCACCAGAGCCAGAGCGGGGAGCAGAGCAGGCAGAAGGACCGAAGTACACTGCTGAGGGGAGCAGCGGGCGGCAGGAGAGGTCTGCGCGCCATGTGGGACCCTCCTCAGGTGGCCAGGGAGCAGCCGGGGATCGAACCGGCGCTGCAGAGGCTGCGGGCAGCTTCGCAACCCAGCGCTCAACCGCTGCGCCACCGGGGAGGCCCTGGGCTATCTTTTTCATTGCAAAATTAGAACACACAGTCAAACAACACTTTTAGAGAGTCTCATATGAAGATTGACAAAGGAGTGTTACCATTTAAATGAATCTAAATACTTCCAAAGATGCATATTTGGACTCTCCATCACATCTCTAGATGTGACATTGCTAAAAATAAAATAGCTACATTCCTTTTCAGATTGTTCAATGATTGAGAAAGTATGAAGTAAAATTAGGGTGGTTCTGTTAAAGTTACAACTATTTGTACAGTTTGCAAAACTCCTGCCTCCAGCTTGATGAGAACAACAAGATCTTTTTGTCACTGGAATTTGTACATTCTTCAGAGTTTTGTGTTGTGTTTTGATCAACATTCCATCAATATACAATAAGCTGCAAGGAGCAAAATCCTAATTAAGTGGATCTTAAATAGTAAGGAAAATTTATTTCACAAGAAACCTGGGTAGGGCAGGTCCATGACTGGCAAATCAGTAACTTGGTTATCACCAGGGACTCAGTTTCTTCCCATGTTTTTCTGCCCACCCATCTTGTGCTGTGAATGGGGTAGCAAGACGGCAGCGGCATCACCCACTTACACAACAGTGTCTAAATGTCAGAAAGGAGGCGATTGTTTATTTTTCTGTCTCTGAGGTGTTACTTTTTCACAGAAACCCTGTGGTACACTTCACTACTTGTCTTAACTAGAAAACATTAAGTGCCCATTTCTAAGTCACTTATTGGCATGGGGAATGGAATTACTGTAACGGATTTAATGTAATCAGGATTCTTCCCCTTAGGTTGTGAATACTCCTTTAAAGCACAAAACCTTTTGGGTCTATTAGTGAAGGAAAGGGCCTTTGAGTTGGGGGGTACAGTATGCCATAAGCATGTTAAAGATTGTGCCTAAACCAGGAGAAATAAAATTCTCAGGTTCATTAGTGACAACACATGGAGAACCCTTCCCTCTCCATCTTTGTCCTCAACTGGCAATGAAATGTCCACACGGCACTGGGGCTTAAGCCACAACCACAGACAGAATATGGAGTCTCACACTCGGCCGACAGCTAACCAGCAGCAACAGAGGTATTCTGCTGAATTTGAGGGAAGCTGAGCTCTAGATCAAGGCAATGCCAGGAGCGGAGCATCACCTGTCAGAAGTGCAAATTCCCAGGCCCTACTCAGGCCTACCTAATTAGAAACGCAGTAGGTAGAGCCCAGTAACAAGGGTCAATAAGAATCTAGGTGATCTCGTCCATGGTCAAGTTTGAGATTCGCTTTTGTAGACCAAGGTTCCAGCCTCTGTTCATCTCACCTCTTACTTCACCCATCTCAGGACAAGTTGTTCTCAGTTCAGAGTATTTGGGTTGGAAATCTAGAATACTTAGAGAGCATGCTGAGATAAACCTGGGTTTAAACTCTGGTCTGCCACTGAGTAACTGTATGGACACCCCACCTTGGCATATTATCAGTGCACACTAAATATTATTAACCATTTTCTACTAAATTTCCTTAATGCTTTCCTCAAAAGGCTGTCCTAAAGACAGAATGAGCTAATCAGTGTTAAGTTTCTCCCCTCCCCTCCCCAAGTCTTCAGTGTTAGGTCTCTCCCTTTTTGGTTTTGTGTGCTAACCTGGAAACTTAATTATCCATTTATTTCCTCATTTAGTCATGCCCTTAAAAAACACAGTACATTTTTTACAATAGGGAAGTGTATTCCAAGTTCCAAAATGTAATTTGGGACATGCTATGTTCCTTTGATATTTCTGGGTATATATTATATTGTTAATGTAGTCCAGGATAGTCAAATTCAAGGAGCCAGGGATTTCGAAGGTCCATAAAAATGAACATTTCCCCTCAATACTGATACTATTCTTGGTAAATTAGAACTCAAAGAGCTCACAGTTGTGACTTGTTTTTGGTGCTGAATCCACTAAGCTGAAAAGATATCGGGCATTCGGGCAAAGGTGGACTGACTAGGGCACAGTGGAAAGTAGACACTCCCAGTTTGGGCACCTGTTTGCCCAGGAAGTCAAACTCATCTGCATGTCAGTTCTCATTGGAGACACATCACATGGTGGCTTCAATGTCATGGCTCAAGGACGTGAACTTCAGGTGGTTGAAATGAACCACTCATATTTACTGCTCAACAGGAAAGGCACAAATTGTTAGCAGACACCTCAACCTTTGTTCAAGGTCCAATGAATGTGTCCAATGAGCAACTTCCCGTGAAAGAGCAGACCAAACAAATCCCACAAAACTACAGCCAGTATCTAATAAGCTCAGGAATATTGGGGGTTTCCTCCTCGGTGGGAGGGAGTCCGGATACCCAATCCCATACCTGATTGTTGTCCCTGTTTGTCCCACTCTAGTCATTTGTCCCAATCTGAGTCTTCACTGAGGTGGTGAAATCCACTCTAGGTTTTTTGCTGTTCTGAGCTCCTCACAACCCGTAGCTAGTTACTGGCTGGCCTTTTCATTCTGCCAGTCCGTCATATATCTGTCTGTGCAGGGTTTTTTCTGGGCTACCTTTTTTTCCTGACGTTCAGTCACCTCATTGCCCAGAATTATTTTGTAGGAAATCCACCTCTTGTTCAAAAGACATGCTGGGAAGAGAGCTTTAGTGGCTTTCTGCCTCACCCAACTGCTGAGGGCCCCGGGCCCTCCTTCTAGAGGCTGTACATTGTTTTTCTTTGTGCCACTTCCACCAGTGAATGCCCCAATGCACTGCTCAGTTTTTCCCTGACCATTCTCTTCCATCCTTGTGTAAGGCTGTTAATGTAACTACCACATATTTTAAGCTGGTACCCACATGCCCAGCCGATTTCCGCATCAGGAGGGAAGCTGGGAAGGAGAGAGCCAATAACGGATGTGCTGCTGAGTTGGCCACTATTGTGTGATTGTCGGCTACATCCCATGGGATCTCGGGGCAGCTGTATAAAACCTGCCTTGGGACGGTGTTTTCCCAAGAGGAGGAAGAACAGAATGGATCCTCGGACTCCTGTTCCTGTTGGCCAGTTGGACTCCACAGACCAGGACCTCCCCTGCACTTGCAGGTTGTCTTGTGTGGGTGCTAAACGAGTCCCCTGGCAGCACCCCAGGAAACATCCAAGATGACAGTCCATGGTGTGAATGGAGGCCTGAAGCACAGCTGTGTGGTTACAGGTCATACCTTGTGGGACTGGCACTGCAGGGATGGCTGGATTAAGAAACTGGAGAGGCCAAGAAGGTATGAAGTATTGCGTAAGGGGGGTGGTGCCTGTTACAAGATAATACGTGAATCAAGTCAAAGATGACTCACTATGTGCCATCCCTTTCATTCAATTATAAACAACTACCAAAGTTACATGCACTTAAAAAAAATTTATGAATACACGAGCTGGGGTACAGGCCAAAAAATATGCATACAAGAGCTGGGGTACAGGGTGAGGATTCACCAGAGACAGAGTGGGGAGCAGAACAGGCAGATCGACTGAAATACAGTGCTGAGGGGAGCAGTGGGTGAGGCAGGAGAGGTCTGCCGCCCCATGTGGGTTGCTCCCTGGCAGGCCTGGGATGGAACTGGTGCTGCAGACACTGCGGATTGCTTCATTGTGCGGTGCTTAACCCCTGGCGCTACCAGGGAGGCCCTAGATGCACTTTTAAAGCCATACATAGAGAGCTCTAGGAGATTCCGGTTGTCGGGTAGAGGAGAAATGGGGAAGCATATGGCTCGAGTTAAATGTACTTTATTGTCATGAGTCAGCTTCATGCCAACTGCATTATAAAAAAATTAATAAGGAAGTCCGGGAAGGAGGCAGCCATGCCTGCGCCAATGAGAATGTGAGCATGTGAGAATGTCACGAACCGAGGTTTATGGCGAATCTCTGTACTTGAGGTCCAAACGAAACGTACAAAGCAGTGCTTTAATCGGATCCCTGCATTCAGGTGGTTTTCTGAGGGCTTCCCCTGCGCCGGGGTCCCGGCGGCGGGGCTCCCCGCTGGCCACTGGAGGGCGTGCGCTGCTAGGCCAGGGCTCGCCGCGCGCTCCTTCTGGGTTTGTTTTCGCAAAAGGAAGGCAGTGCCCAGCTGGGAGGAGAGGAGAGGCGGGGCGCAAGTAGGCGCGGCTGCTGGCAAGGGACACCCCCCGCTCCCCCCACCCCCCACCCCTGCCCCCGGCCTCCCCCGGGAGGGCCTCCGCCCTGCGCGCTGCCCCGGGGTTTCGGGAGGAAGCAGCTGCCGGCACAGTACGACCTGGGCACCCCGCTGGCCTCTGCTTGACTTCCTGCTACACGACACCCCACCTTCCCCCAGGCCCGGGAAGGTCGCAAACTGAGGTTTTGTTTGGCTTGGAGGGGTATCTTTAAGGTTAATTTGGCAATATTTAAAAAAAAAAAAAATCGAGAAATGTTTAGCCTAAACATCCATATTTTCACTTTTCCCCTGTCACTTGGGATAGCTGACTGCACCCTCCACATGCACCCCCTTTCTGCCAGGGGATGTTTAGAATAAAATTTCTTTTTTGCACAACTGATTATAGTTAATTGTGGCTCCTCCACCCCCATAGTTTTCTGTGCACACAGAAAATTACCATAAAACCCTAACAGTCACCAGTCACCACAATCTCCTTACAAGGTAGAGGCACCGGGTGGTCTTCACGAAGTCCCTGTCCCCAGACTTCCCTGCCCAGCGGCCTGCTGTAGCTTCCTTCCTCTCAAACTTCCTCTCAAAAAGTAGAGAAATCCCCCCTTTTCAATCTAAATCACACAAGAAACCCCATTGTATAAAACAGGAAATACGATATTCAAATAAATGATCAATTTACATTGATAACATTTGCTGATTATAAAGGTAGTGCTAAGAATGATACTCCTTGGTGAAACCTGTATTTAGAGCAGGGACATTTTAGGGGCTGTAACCTCATCTTTGCATTCTTCTGCTTTGTCTTGGTCATCAGGATGGAGGATCCTGGCTCACCTGGGAGATAGTGGCAGGGTTGTGTTTTTTCTTTTTAACAGTTCGCCTCACACTCTGGGCATCTTCAACTAGAGGAGGCAGCAAGGCAGCATGGGAGGCTGTCAAGGGGTTCCATGTCAGTGTTTGGTGTTAAGAGACTGTGTTCCCAACCAGAACAGACACACAGACCGATGGAATTGAATAGAAAATCCAGAAATAAACCCACAGATTTATGGTCAACTAAACTTGGACAAAGGAGCAAAGATTATGAATTAGCGCAAATAAAGTTTGTTCAGTAAATGGTGCTGGGAAAACTGGGTCGCTACATGCAAAAGAATGAAGCTTGACCACTACCTCACACCATACACAAAAACCAACTCAAAATGGATTAAAGAACTAGACATAAGACCTGAAACCATAAAATACATAGAAGGAAATATAGGCGAAACACTACGTGATTTGCACATCAAAGACATCTTTACAGACACATCTCCCAAAGCAGTGATAGTGAAGGCAAAGATAAACAGCTGGGACTACATCAAATTAAAGAGCTTCTGCACAGCAAAAGAGACAATAACAAAAACAAAGAGAAACCCCACCAACTGGGAGAACATTTTTGCACCCAACACCAATGATAAAGGACTGATCACAAAAATCTGCAAAGAACTGATGAGACTCAGCACAAAGAAAATAATCCTGTCAAAAATGGGCAGAGAAGAGCTAAAAAGAAACTTCTCTGAAGAGGAAATGCAAATGGCCAACATGCATATGAAAAAATGTTCATCACCTGTAATCAGGGAAATGCAAATCAAAACTACCATGAGATACCATCTTACACCAGTGAGAATGGCACATATTAAAAAAAACTAACAACAACAAATGTTGGTGAGGGTGTGGAGAAAAAGGAACTCTCCTGCACTGTTGGTGGGAGTGCAAACTGGTCCAACCACTATGGAGAGCTTGTGGAGATTTCTGGACCTACTAAACATAGAGCTTCCATATGATCCAGCAATTCCACTCCTAGGTATTTACCCAAAGGACACAGAAACATCAATTCCAAAGAGCACCTGCACCCCTATGTTTATAGCAGCACTGTTTACAATAGCTAAGCTTTGGAAACAACCCAAATGCCCAAAAATAGATGACTGGAGCAAGAAGATGTGGTGCATATACACCATGGAATATTACTCAGCAATCAAAAAAGATAAACACATGCAATTTGCAGCAACATGGATGGCTCTGGAAGGGATCATGCTCAGTGAAATAAGCCAGAAAGAAAAAAAATACCGGATGGTCTCACTCATAGCAGGAATCTAGAAAACTTAAATAAGGGACCAGGAAAAAGAATAACTATAAGAAAGAAAATATCAAAATCAACAAACAACTATGAACAAGGGACACTCTATGTGGGGTGGGAGGTGGGGAGGGGAGGGATTGGGGTCAAAATAAGGGGATTGCAATTGTTTGGGGAATATAAAAATAAAATTTATTTAAAATAAAAAAAAAGACTGTGTTCCCAAATGTTAACAAGCCTTCCCAGCCTTGGACCATTTTAGCATCCTCACTGGAGATCCACCCTGAGGGCTGAGCAGACAAATGTGTCTGGAAGAGAAGCCTCTAACCAACGGCTGCAGCACAAGGGCCTCCGTCAGACACTTGCCTGTTTTTGCTCTGGGCCTGTCTGCAGATATCAGGGCCAAATGCCAGTGGAGGAAGACAGGTAGCTCAGGCGAGTTCTGTCCCCACCTTGCCATCCTTGAGGGCCTGGGGCAGAGGGTCAAGGGCCAGGCTCAGGAACCAGCCTGACCAGGGCTCAAACCCCAGCTCTACCACTAACCCCACACTTCCTTGACTTTCTCCTTGGCCCCTCTGCGGGACTGCCAGTTATGTTCCAAGCAGGTGTGCTTGCTCAGGCCCTTCAAGATGGCAGTTCTGTCGCAGCACACCACCCTGGCTGAGAGAACCATACCAAACCAGGCCAAGGGAGGCTTTGCTGGCCAAGGAGCTGGCAGATATGGGAAGATCAGCTTGGGCATCTCCCAGTGCCCCTTGTAGCCACCATGTGCTAACATCCTCTCCTGGAGGCCTCGGGTTACAATGGGCCAGGGTGACTTTGTCCTTGAGGCAGATCTTTGACTCCCTGTCCTCACCTGGGGCCCAACATTCCCAGCTCTCACATCTTTGCTTGATCCTGCCTGTCTGACTGCTCAGTGGATCACCTCCCTGTGCTGGGAGCTGGGGTGGCGAATACAGATTGGGTTACACATGGACCTGGGTTACCCCAGCTCAAGCAGCTTCCAGAGAGGCCATGGCTTAGAGAAGATATAGCCCAGCCTTGTATTCTCCAGGACTGGGACTGCTTAGCTGTTAGGAAATGGCTTTGACCTCACTGGGCTCTGGTGCCAGCTTCTGGTGGTGTGTGACTGGGTCTTCGTCTTCCCTGGCTATCCAAACAGCTATTTTAACACTGCAGTTCCTAGACAGAAGGTCCCGTTTAATTTTTCTTACTGTGATAAATGAACATTCTAATCATTTGCACAGGGACAATGTAGCGGCATTAATCACATTCACTAATCACATTCACGTGGTTGTGCAAACATCACCCCCATCCATCTCGAGCTTTCATTTTCCCAATTATCAGTGTAACCACGAAACACTTGCTCTCCACCCCCGCCCCCACAGCCCCATCATACGCCACACAATGTTCCTATTCTAGGCACCTCGAACAAGTGGAATCATAGCCACGTTCGTCCGGAAGTGACTGGCCTATTCAATTTCACGTCGTCTACAAGGTTCATCCATGCATTAGCGTGTCAGCACCGAGTCCTGCTTTAGGTCTCCCGTGAGCACTCTTGTCTCCATCCTCCACGTTTTACTTTGCAAATACGCAAATCTAAAAAAGTCAATCTCTTCTGTGTCTACTCATCTCCAGTGGGACACACAAATGGGGGGCACCCAGGTAGCAGGGAGTGCTCCCCCACAGGGCTCCTTGGTCCCTTCCCTGCACTCCCGGCTTCACTGACAGCCTTCAGGTTTTATAAGACAGTCCTCAGCAATTAGCCAAGTCAATATTTTATTTAAAAATACACACACACACAATAACAAGACAGAGAGAGGGAGATTTGGGAATGGGCTGACCACACGGTGCTTCTTCCAGTGCCTCACCTCTGAAAGAGGGGAGCTTCCCGGCCCAGTATCCAATTTAGAGAAATCTGAGGAAGTGGCTTCTCTCTCCTGAGAAATGTGAAGTAGCAAACCATTGGGGGGGAATTCAGAAAGCCCCCCCTGGTGGTAAGTGAGTCATCGTCCCTGAGGCACTTCTACAAGCAGGAGGGAGAGGCCAGACTTCCCTGGATGCTGCATTTCTTTCCCAGAGGGAAGGAATGTTTTCCAAGGAGGACTGAAGAAATATTCAGGGGTCCCAGAGCAAGACGAAGGCTCCCTTCTTGCCCACCGGGGCGGGACTTTGGCACCAAGCAGGAGCACAGGCTCAGAAGTCTTTCTGGGGTCCCTGGCCCCGGGAGCAGGTCAGTTGGGCCGAGTGTTCCGCAGAGCCTTCCAATGGCGGAGCCTGTGGCAGTCAGACAGCTGCGTCTTGGGAAGGAAAAGGCAAAGTCAGGACGGCCTGCAGGACAGGGTGCCCCCAGAAGCCATGCATGAGAAGGCTGCCCCGAGTTCCACCTGGTGCTCTTTTTCCCTGCAGCACTAACTTGTCTTTTTAGTATTAGTATTTTTAAATATCTTTCTAAAAGAGTGAAAAATACTGTAGTGGTGATTCTTACCCCTGCTCCTCCCACCTCAAGTTCCCTCCTCAGAGGTACTTTTAACTTTAGTGGGTTTTTTTTGCTGATTCCACCATCATTTTAAGTAATACATTAATACCAATCTTTAAAGATTTACCAACCTTAGACATTACCCATTAACTTTGTTTACTTTCTTTACATTTTTTTAAAAGATTTATTTATGCATACAAGAGCTGGGGTACAGACCAGAGGTGCGGGGGTTGACAGGGTCCACCAGAGAGAGTGGGGAACAGAACAGGCAGACTGACTGAAATACACTGCTCAGGGGAGCAGCAGGCAGTCAGGAGAGGTCTGCCTCCTATGGGGGTTGCTCCCTGGCCGGCCAGGGATTGCTTCATAGTGCGGTGCTTAACCCCCTGCGCCACCAGGGAAGCCCTACTTTCTTTACTTTTTTTTCCACCATTTTTTGTTATTGCCCTTCACCAGCTTTTTTGAGCAATGATTCGCCTATCATGCAATTTGTTGGGGTGTCATTAAATAAGGTTAAAACTTGCGCAGTAGGAAGGTTTGGGAGGCTTGAATATAGGGAATTGTTAAGGTTGCCAAGGCCAAGACTGATCACTTTGACCAGAATGCAGAAGCAGGGCCAGGACAATCTGTGTCAAAGGTCAATGCCCAAGGGCCTCCCCGGTGGCGCAGCGGTTGAGCGCTGGATTGCGAAGCTGCCTTCGGCCTCTGCGGCGCCGGTTCGATCCCCGGCTGCTCCCCGGCCACCGGAGGAGGGTCCCACATGGCGCGCAGACCTCTCCTGCCGCCCGCTGCTCCCCTCAGCAGTGTACTTCGGTCCTTCTGCCTGCTCTGCTCCCCGCTCTGGCTCTGGTGAATTCTCTCACCCTCCCGCACTTCTGACTATACCCAGTGCATGTATGAACAAAAACAAACAAATAAATAAAAACATGCCTCTATTAAAAAAACAAACAAACAAAAAAAACAAAGGTCAATGCCCAAGACCATACATCCCAGCACTCACCAGCCCAAACCAACTCCGCAGTCATGAAAAGCCCACAAAAACCGGTTATAAAACGGAGCCCCATCCTTCCAGCAAACCTCTCTGGTCTCACCTGCTGCTTCTTTTAGCAGTTTATTTCAACAAATCCACCTTTTCCGTTCTCCACTCTGCCTCTGCTGAATTCTTGCACCCCTGCACCTCTGGCCTACACCCCAATTCTTCCTTACGACACAATTCACCCACTTAAAGCATGCTTTTTAGGTCATAGTTTTCTTTTTTTTTTTTTTATTTTTTTAATTTTTTTTTTAATAGAGGCATGTTTATTTATTTATTTATTTATTTGTTTGTTTCTTTGTTTATACATGCACTGGGTACAGTCAGAAGCGCGGGAGGGTGAGAGAATTCACCAGAGCCAGAGCAGGGAGCAGAGCAGGCAGAAGAACCAAAGGACACTGCTGAGGGGAGCAGCGGGCGGCAGGAGAGGTCTGCGCGCCATGTGGGACCCTCCTCTGGTGGCCGGGGAGCAGCCGGGGATCGAACCGGCGCCGCAGAGGTCGCCGGCAGCTTCGCAACCCAGCGCTCAACCGCTGCGCCACCGGGGAGGCCCAGGTCATAGTTTTCAATAGTGCAACCATCATAGTGAGAACATCTTCATAAAGAAACTTGACCCCCACTAAGTCATCTGGAAGTCACCCCACTTTCCCCCTAACCACTATTCTACTTTGTCTCTACAGTGTGTCTGTGGTGAATATTTCCTATGAATAGAATCCCGCAATACGGATGCTTTGTGACTGGTGCCTTTTACTTAGGTGGCGGCTGGAAGGAAGCCGAAGCTCTGATGTGACGGTCTTTCTGCAGGGCAGCTCAGCCAACACTATGCACATGCTTTGATATTTCTGATGTATTTTTTAAAAAGAAAAAGTGTCAGATGAGAGAAAGAAGTAGATTAGCCCAAACAGCTGATTCAAGCTTTCATCAATTGTACTTCTAGGAATTTTCTTTTTCGTATTCCTTTTTAGTTTTATTTTCCACTAGTTTACATAACTGTAATGGGGGGGTTCCAACCTCACAGCTCTATAGGGTCTACATGTCTCACTCACTTTCCACCAAAGCTCCAGTGCCATTACCCCGTATCATCTTCTCTCCCCAATCCCTCCTCCCATTCCATCTGGTAACCAGAACATTAAGACACAGAGCATAAGAAATATTCTTGTTGTTTTACCAGTTCTCCTTGGTTATTTATAGTCTGCAAAGGAGACCATCCAGTAACTGTCTTTCACTTCCTGACTTGATTCACTTAACATAATCACCTCGAGATCTATTTTGTCCCCAAAGTCACTTACTTATTCCATCTTTTGAAACAGCGGTACAGTATCTAGGAATTCACTCCAAAGATGCAAATTAGAGATGTCGACAGGGACACATTTACAAGAATGTACATTACAGTGTGATTGAGTAATGAAGAATTAAGTACACTTTGGCAGAGTCACACAATGGGGCCATTCCAACAGCACAGAGCCCTTAGGAATGATGGAGAAGAACCATGTGGGGCAATCTAATAGATGGCTGGGGGGAACAGGTTAAAAAAATAACACATCAAGTCTGATCCTCTTAATAAAAGCAATGTGTGCGTCTATAGAGGTTATAGAAACATTCAGAGGAAATACTGGTAGAATAGATACCCCACAGGTGCTGTTTCTGGGGAAAGTGATAGAGCACTTTCATTAAATTTTTTCTAAATGCTCTACATGTTACTTTTGTCATTAGGAAACAAAGAAAATGCTTCGCATCAGAGGCTGGAATATCAGGTGTCCCTGGGCATGGTAGAGGCAGGAGATTCTTAGGTCCTATCTTTTCTCTCCCTCTAACCCCCACCGGTCCCTCAGGGCCTCCTCCACACAGGATTTGTTCCCTGTTGCTGAATTCCAGAAAAGGCCACCCTCCTGTTCCTCTTCTTCCCGAGTGAGGGACTTTTCAGAGATCACCTTTTCTGACAACGGGAACTCACCTGTGGACTGGGTGACACACGAGAACTTGTAGGACAGCCATATGCTCGCCATGCACAGGAAGGTGGCCATGAACCCAAAGACCTGACAGGAGAGAGAGAGGGAAGGAGGTTTCCAGATCAGTGGTCAATTACTGGCACAGTCTTCTCTGTTCCTCATCTCTGTGCTGGTTCCCGCACCAACTATGGCTAGGAGGGAGCTGGGGAAATCACCTGACCCAGCCACCTCATCCTCACTCAGGTGCACAGACCAGACCCTGTCCCTGTTGCCAGCGCCCAGGCCAGGCCTCTGGTGTCCACCTCTCAGCTCTTCACATTGGGCAACTTCAGTGCCCACGTTCAGATTTATGGTTACAACTGACCTGGGGCCAAACCATTCTACTTTAATTACTCTGGGTGAAAAGAGAAAAAGGGGGAACTGTAAATTTTAGTTTGGGTTTTAAAAATTTTAATGTTCAGGTGGATTTTATTGGGGGTAGCCTTGTTTGCACTGCATTTATAATAGCTTTGTGTCCTGCTGGCTTTATAGCTGCGTAAACAGCTTTGTTATCGGCCTTACACTGACAGGAACGTAACCAGTATTACACCGAGAGACGGTCAGGCTGTGAGCATGTCCTCTCTGAGCGTCTACCCAGTGCCCAAGTGTGAGAAAAGCTGACTGAGCCTGGTCTGACCTCCTCACTTGTGGACCAGAACAGGGTGCCCAGAGTCCAAGAGAGCGCTTGGGGGTCGGGGCGGGGGGACATGCATCAAATGTTTGAGCTGGAAGCAGCACACTTAAGTGTTTTTGGAACATCCAAGCCTGAAACCTTTTGCTTACTCGTGAGCAACACTGGCAGCTGCAGCAGCCAAAATTAACGAGCACTTACTATGTACCCACCAGTGTTCTAAGCCCTGCAGCTGTATTGATTCCTTAGCTGCCACCCCTTCACCACAACGCTGCCAGGTGGGTGCTGGTGTGAATCTCCCCTCATTTTATAGCTAACGAAATAGAGGCACAGGAGATCAACTGTCCTGCCTAGAGCCACACAGCCACCAAGGGCCCAGGAGGGATCCGGCTGAGAGACCACGCTGGACTCTGTCAGACACATAAAAGGCCTGGGGTTCACTATGGAATCACTGGTGCCAGGCTGAAGCCCCACCCCCCCCCAACCCTGACTCATGCCCACGAAGCCAGACGATGGGCAGGATTTAAGGTTTAATTTTTGTCAAGTCTGGCTGCTGGTTTACACAGCGCTGCCCCCAGCAAACCACACCACCCCGCCACCACCCCCCGTCCCCTTTCCCTGGCTCCTTTTGTACCGATTGTCTGCACCACATAATTAGCCTATTAGAGCCTGCCCTGGCCGCTCATTGTCTGTTCTGCACAATTAGCGCATTATCCACATCCCGGTCTCCAACTGTCTGTACTGCATAATTGAACAGTTTATTATAGCCCTACATGATGCTATTCTGGACGACAGTGCCTTGTTTGCTAATTGTTTCATGTGCCTTGGGCTGGAATCCTAAGCTAGATTACCACTTTCTCATAAGCAGGGACCCTAGCTTTCTTCTTCGGGCTCCCTCCTGGTGTAGGCTTGGTCCTAGGCACAAAGATGGTGTAGGCTAAATGGGGCTTATTGGGGTTCCAGGGCTAACATGGTTATGTGCCACCTGAGTCATAAAACCCAGTGGGAAGTTCCCTGTGTGGTCCTGAAGACACGGTGGGCAGGATTCCCTCGGTGCCTGGGTGGGGCAGGTGGCGGCCAGCAGTAGACAGCCGCCCCATTGTGGGAGAGGCACTTAAGGGACTTGGCTGATCCCTGCAGCCACCTCTGCCCGCTGCCCTTTGGAGGATGAACTCCACCCTGAGTGGAATTCTAGGTTCTAGCCCACCTTTGGTCCAAAGTCTGACCAATTTTGTAACTTGTGTGAGTGAAAGACACTGCGCATCACCTACAGAGTTTTGTCTTAAAACTCATTTTCAAAATCTTGCCCACTCAGTGAGGTGATCAGTATTAGCCCACAGGCCTCCACACTGTACACCACTAGCTAAATCAGGAATTAGCTGACAGGAATCTCGAAATCTTTTTAAAATAGTAGATGGACACATATGTATGTGTCTTAAATACATATCATTCCCACAGCACTGTATTTTTATATATTTCCATGCTGTTTCTACTCAGGCTTTCGGATGGGACAAGTCCCACCTTTCAAAGTTTTATTTCCTGGCCTGAACACTGTTAAAAAATAAATCAGAAATGACCAAGACAGCCTCTTGGCAGAGATAGCACCAGCTACCCACCCCCCTCCCCGCCCCTAAAAAGGGGCCTCAGAACCTTTCTCTGCATACTGCCGAGGCAGCCTTGAGGAACAAATGATCAGAATGGGCATGTGGATGAAAACCTGCTCGCCCCAACTTAAGCAGTGGCTGTGAGAGGGGGGTCTGGGACCACTCAAATTGCCACCAGCCATGGCGACCCTCCTGACCCTCGCTGTGGGCCCACGACGCAGATCTCTGGAGACTGTTGCTGGCTGGTCAAGATGGGTGCTGACTGACAGAAGCCATAGAAAGCAATCCCTTTGCTGCCACATAGCGAGCATTTGAAACATGAATTCACTCCTGAAAATGTCCTCACCGCTCCGGCTACCAGTCCGCTCTCGTTGGAACTCTTGGAGGCGGCCACAATGGAGGCGATTAGGAGGAGCAGGGTACCGATTAAATAGTGCAGAAATTCCTGTGGGCAAAACACAAAGCAGAGCAGAGGCTGAGGAGGTCCATTCTTGATTCCTGGAGACAACCAGGCGTCTGAAGCGATGAAGAGGAGGGAGAGAGGGCGGGACACCTTTCTTCCCCCTGAAACACCCCGACAGGAGCAGTGCAGCTCACAGCCAACAAATGTGCAAGGCCAGGCCTGGGAGGTTCAGTGAGAGAGAAGACGCAGGGCAGGCAGGAGAGGGACAAGATAGGACGGTCCTGTGTGAGCAGAGAGCCCTGGCAAGAACTGCCCCACTCCCGGGAGGGGTTTGCAGACAGGACTTTAATCTCTAGCCAAAGCTACCCAAAAAGCAAACCAGTTTCTCACAGCTCCTAGGCTGGAGAGTTTAGGTGAAGCTTCAGGCACTGAGGAGCAAAGACCATTGTGGCTTCTGCTTCAGGAAAAGTTCTGGGTGAAAAATGCGGTGGCTCTGGTGGCCGTGTGGAGTATTCACCCACTCTGTGAACATTCCTAAGTGGAGATTCAGGATCAGAGCCTAGGATGAGGTCACAACCCATCCGTAAAGTGCCATGGGTGTGTGTGGGTGCTGGTTCTCACCCCAAGGACATTTAAACCTCGTTTTGTCTTCCCACTTTGCTTCTCTCTGGAAGCATGTCGTCAGGCCCACCTCTGTGGCTGAGTCTCCAGGCAGGACCGACTCAGTCTTTGCTTCTCCCCGGGCACACAAGGCCGGCCATTTCTGCCCCGTTCACTCTGCCATTAAAGCATCGTGGCAGGCCCGGGTGAGGATGGCCTGTCACTCAGCAGCACAGTCTTGCTTCTGATCTCATCTTTTCTCCTCCTCACTTAATACCAGATCAGAGGAGGAAGGTGGTTTTTTGGATTCAGAGTGAGTCCTCTCGGTAGCCTGAGTGGATCTATTTTTAGCTGTTTTCAAGAGACTTTAGCTGTTTTCAAGAGACTTTAGAAATTACGCCTTCTTGAAGTTCTGCCCATTAGGGCAGGCAGCTGTTCCAGTTTAGAAAAGCATTCCACTTTCAAGCTGCAGCGCCTCTCAAGGCTGTGCAAAAATCAAAGATGCTGATTGCTCCCTTAGTGACTAGAAAGACTATCACAAGGCAGATCACAGGGATCTGACTAAAGAGCCGATCAATAGCTGGAAGTTCTCCACCCAGCGAGAAAGCTGGGTGACAGGGAAACCCAAGTGGATGGCACAGCCAAAAAGGGTGGCTGAGCCTAGCCTCCCAACTGTCACATCCCTTCAGTCTGCCCTCTTTGCCCCCCAGCTTTTATTTTCTCCTTTGTTCACTATCAGGACTGGAGAAGCTGCAGGAGCTTGTCCTTGAAAGTAGAAAGATGCTGTAACTTTGAAAGGGGCCTTAGAATTTAGGAATACAAAAGAAAGTTCTCAAAATAATGTGTGATACTGTTGAATGTAAATGATCGAACAATCTAGTAAGCAGAGGTTGTCAGACCCACCTACGTACTGTCCAGAGACACACTTTATATCCAAAGAAGTACTGTGTCATGGATCCTTTATCATGTTTTAGTCAACCAGTCTGTCCTATGGGGATGTTAGTCCCTATAGGCTATAGCACATAGTCCATGTGTGTAGTGGGTTATACCATCTAGGTTTGCATAATTACATTATGACACTCACAGAAAAACATTGAATGGTGCATTAATCGGAACATATCCCTGTTGTCCAGTGACACATATAGATTAAAATGGAAAACATGTCATGTAAACAGTAACCAAGAGAAAGCTGGAATGGCTATGCTAGAATCCAGTGTAATAGATTTTACCCCCAAAACAGCTGAGTGGAAAAAGATGTGGTGTATATATACACAGTGGAATACTACTCAGTGATCAAAAAAGATATGTCACTTGTGGCAACATGAGTGGAGCAGGAAGGGATTGTGTTCAGTGGTAAGCCAGAAAGAGAAATACTAGATGGTGTCGCTTATATGTGGAACATAGAGAAACCGAATTAAGGGTCAAATTTTAAAACCAATCCTTAAGCGGCCTCCCTGGTGGCACAGGGGGTTATAAGATGCAATCTGTGAAGCTATCCACAGATACTGCAGCAAAAGTTCGATCCCCGGCCTGGGAGCTACCCACATGGCATGGTAGACCTCTCCTGTCTCACCCGCTGCTCCCCTCAGCAGTGTATTTCAGTCTGCCTGTTCTGTTCCCCACTCTGTCTCTGGTGAATCCTCACCCCCCATACCTCTGGCCTGTACCCCAGTTCTTATATAAATCTTTAAAAAAAAAAAACAATCCTTGAAAGCTGAGCATAGATCTGAGGCTTCCAGAGGCTGAGGGTACAGCACAACGGCTGGAGGATGATGAGTGCTTCCGGCACAGAGGCCAGGGTCAGGCTACTCCCTTACCGACAGGGGCCAGCTGATACAGGTGAACACACCGTCGAGGCGGAAGAGGTGGACCAGGTAAAAGGCGAGGATCATTATCAAGTTGCAAATGGTCACCACTTCAAAGTAGCTGTAGGCACTGTAGCTGATCCACTGAAGCAGAGAGCTCCTCACACAGATGAAGGCGAGCAGCAGAACAACCTGAGACACAAGTAGAGGCATCAGATGGCACCCGGGGAACAAACAGAAAACTGTGCCGCGGAAGCAATTCAGGTTACTGCCTTCCAAGCTGGCTAGAAGGACAGAAACTCACTGGCTCACAGGAGTACATGCTGGCTGTGAGCGCTGAGCAGCAAGAGCTTCGTGTCCTCTGAAGCCTGATGTGTCGTGCCTCCTCAGAAGGGGCAGGAATGTAGAAAAAGAATCATCCCGTTTATTTGCTCGGCCTCCTCAGAGCAGAGTGGAATATGATGCTGGACCCATGATTTACATACTAGGTTCTACTGGGGGAGGTTGCCAATACCTGCCTACTTTTGACTCAAGATGGTGATTCATATGTTACAACCTACCAGTGACAGAAGAAGTTTTGCCTTTGAAAAATGTCAGCCCTCATCACAAATGCCCTGAAGAAGGTGGGTGTATCGTCCACTGCATGGACAATCCTGGTTAGGCAGTGCCTGCTCTCCATAGGGCATCAGTGAGCACAATAAGTGATGTGTGAATGAATAGCAATGATGAATTAATGACTAGCGTGACATGTTGTTGAATTAGCAGGTCAAGTAAATGATTAGCAACCCATGAATAGCAGACTACACTGGAAGAGAAGATTCTGTGCTTTTTGTGATGGCTAAGGAGAATCAAATCTTGTTCATACCACATAGGGAATAAACTAATGACACCCAGGTGTTAAATGCATATAAAATTAGAATCTTTAAAAACACAAGGAATTTGGGACAAAGAATTTGGACTGCCTCTTTCCAGTAGAACAGTGATTCCCAAAGGGTGTGTGTGATTTGTGTCCTACGGGCCACTTGACAATGTCTGGATACTATGGGGTGGAGTATTGGCATTAAACGGGCAGGGGCCAGGGGTGCTGCTAAATACCCCACCAATGCACAGGTCAGTGTTGTAACAAAGCTATCTGGTCTCAAATGTGAACTCTGAGACAGGTTCTGCAGACAGTGACTTGACAATAAAGTCACATGGTGGCTCTAACACTGGTTACGGTGGGTAGTGCCCAAGCCGCTCTATTTTTAAAGCCCCCCTCATCCCTAGCACACTATCCAGTAACAGGTACTGCAGCAAGAAAAGAACTCTGGGCTTGAAGCTAAAGGCGGGCTTGAATGTTCTGCTGAACAGATCAAAACAGAGGGCTGGGGCTCGGACACAAAGCCACCCTCAGCATTTGCGTATTTCCCTTTGCTAATGAGCAACGTGAATATTTTCATTTTTTCAGTTCCTCAAGGCAACCGGGCGTGGTGATATGACTCACACCTTGAGGTGGTTTTAAAGCTCTGAGGGGGGTCTTGCTTCGCTCAGGGGTGTGCATGATTGTTGGGGCTTTATTGCCTCATCAGTCCCCAGCTCCAGACCTCATCTACATCTCCCCAGTCTTTACAGGACCCTCTTCATGTGCTGGGGTATTTTTATTTAAAGCCTGCCTTAAACTGCAGATAAGTCAGTTATGCCGTATGATTCTCAGGTGGAAAAGCAATTATGCACCTAATTTAATGCAGAAATTAGAACAATTTTTACTACTCTCCATCTGTGACAGTCAGGAAGTTCTGGTGGTGACAGACATGGGAGTTTCCCAACAAACCGAAGTGGCCAGGGCAGGTCTTCCCCTCGGAGCTCCCAGGCGGAGTCATGCATAGCTGGAAGTACTTCATTGCTCTAGCACACACCATCTCAGACCTGCCTGGGAAACCCGCTCATGAAGTGAGACTTCCCGAATCTGCCCCCTTGGCCGAAGGCCCCCTACCATGCGCTCTTCTTTAGGAAAGCCCAAATTTGGAAAGTAAATGTAGACAGGAGCTGGTTTGTAATACCCATTTACTAAAAGCTTCCTTTTTGCCCAAGATTTCACTTATTCCTACTTTAGGTAGCCAGCATTTTATCTAGTGCGCTAAAGATTTCATACCAAACGTTTTAGGAACGCTTCTGAAATCAGTAGGTAACACCTGGAGCTGCTGGAGACCGTCTCCCCAGCCCCTAGCATCATTTAGATCAAAATTCAGGGGGCAGCCAGAGAGGTGAAGCAGAAGGCAAGCAGAACAAGACACAGGTGGGGAAAAGGCCCTGTGGTGCGGACCGTGTTCCCTCCCCGACTTGGCCCTCACAGGATCGCTCCTTCCCTCCCACTGGAAAAGCAAGTCAACAGACATTGAATTCAGATGACCGAAGTAGACATTGATTTCAGGACTGTGTGAAGGCTGAGAAGCTTCTGGAAGATAGGTATGGCTGTTTAGAGAACTGAAATGAGACACCGTGCAAAGGACTAGCTTGCTTCTTAGGGTGCCGTCGGCTTCTCTCGTAAAGGTCTGTTCTTTGACATCAAACTGCCATGAATGTTGAAAACACATTGGCGATAAATGTCCAGGGACTTCAGAGTAAAATTGCAAGAAACCTTAACTCGAAGGGAGGCTCTCACAGACCATCTGTGAGAGCCAGTTTAGTCACTTGGAATCCCCTCAAAAGTAGAAGCCTCCCCTACCCCAAACTGGTCTTTTTGACTCTGTTCTATCCAAATTTGCATTAGAGAGATGAGATTTTTGTGCAAGCAGGAGTTCAGTGTCACAGCGGGTGAAGCAAACTGACATCCCCTAAGGGAAACAGTTGCCTGAGAACTTGTGAACTAAAACAGTCTGGTCCCAGCTCCCCAGCCAGGCGCCAGAGCACTCTCAGCTTGGGTGAATGTCCCTCAAGGAAGAAATGGGACTTTGAAGTCTAAGATGGAGCAGCCTCAAGAGGCAATGCTCAGGAGAGGTTTTTTCCTAAGCTGAGCAGCAGAACCTCTGGGGGTGGCTGGCGGTCAGCCACTGCTTGCAGCCTGTGCTCGGGAACATTTCCTCAGAAGGCCTGACCCCTCACCTCCATGTTCCTGCCAGGTCTGGCTGTTGAGCACGCCTGTGTCTGGCTAAAGATGACACCAGACTTCTTGTGTCACCAGAGCACCAGGCTGGATGCCGGCAAGTCACCCAATCCCAACCCCCTCTCCCAGGAGTTTTTATTCTGACCTTGAGAGCATGTTTCAGAGAGACAGGTAGGAGGAGAGGAAGTAACTGATGAAAGTAAACATCAGAAGGTCCCAGACCCAACTCAAAGAGGCTTTTCTGCAAGTGTCCAGATGAAAGCCAGCTTGTCCCAACAATCAGACAGGGAGAGAAGGCTCAGGGACTGGAAACTATCTGTGGAGGCAGGCTGGCCCCTAAGTAAGTTTGTTTAGCAGTGGGGAGGCAGGAAGAGGAATTTCCTTCCTCCTCATCCCGAGAGCACCCCTCCCCTTCCTTTGATGCCCCAGGTCCCTTAGCACAGAATTTAAAGCCTTGGTTTGCTCCCATTTATTTTAGAATTCAGTTATTTAAGTTCCCTAGTGGTGCTTTTCTCCTATGCATTTGTCTCCTATGCATTTCTCCTATGTAATTTGTTCATCTGAAACCGGAGAACCACCCCCACCCCCACATTGAGGCTTCAGCTGCAGGCAGTAGAAGCCCATGGGTTTGGACCGATCAAAGTATGAGCCATGAACCGATTGAAAATGGTCCAATCAGACTTGTAGGTGGGGTAGGGGGGCAGCATTGTCCAGTAATGCTGGTCATCACCAGGAGGCAGTGTGTAGGATAAGATAAAAAATCAGGCTTTTCTGCCCTCCTGCCATCAGGATAGATGAGGGAACCCTGTGATCCTGAATGCATGCCTGATGGCGGGCACCTGCAGTGGGTACACCTGCGCTAAGACTGTGCTTTTTAAGGGCGGCGTCACGGGGATGCCAGGAGAAGCAGCAGAAGCCGAAGAAGCCTGAAGCAGAAGCAGAGAACGCCAGAGAGCCCAGATAGAGTGAAGATTTGCTGGGGGCTGGGAGGACTGCCAGCCTCCCAGCACCCCTGCCTGCCACGTACCCGCTGAACCCCAATAAAAGACCTGCAAAAACCACTGAGGACTCTGACTCCTCCTTTACCTGGTCTGCATGGGATCAGAGAACCTGCACTGTGGTCATTCTTGCCTTTACACAGTGATGTCAGAAACACCAGCGGGGCCTCCTTAGTGGCACATAAGTCTCAGCACTATAAAGCTATTGGCAGCCATTACAGTGTGAGTTTGACCCCCGGCCAGGGAGATGACCCACATGGTGCAGCAGACCTCTCCTGTCTTGCTTGCTGCATCCCTCAGCAGTATTTTTGGTTGTCTGCCTGTTCTGCTCCCCACTGTCTCAGGTGAATCTTTACATTCCCCCACCCCACACCTCTGGCCTACACCCCAGCTTTTGTATGCATAAAAATAAATCTTAAAAAAAAAACCCCAAAAAAACAGCAACGTTGCTGTTCTTTGAACTGTTGGCCCACAATAACAAACAGCAAATTGAGACACCAGGCCCAAGGCCTTTAGGTGCTTCTTTCAGGCAGTGATAGAGGCAGGCCCGGCTGGTCAGGCCTCTAAGAAACTTTGGCTTTATCTGCGAAACTTTCAATGTCTTTGGATGCCAGGAATAGAGTCTGTGAGACAGCCTAAGAGCCTCAAAGTCTGATCGAGAGAATCCTAAAGTGGCTGCTGCCCCCGCCTTATATCCTCTTTCAGGGTTCCCCACCTACAAATCTGATTGGACTGTTTACCAATCAGCTCATCGCTCCCACCTGATCTGTCCATTCCACAACCCAGGCCGCAAACCCATGGGCCTCTCTACTGCCTGCAGCTGGAGGAGCCACAGCTCTGGAGCTGGCCCAGGGGCCCCCCTGCTCCTCCCTGCAGCCCTGAACCAGGGGCTGTGTGCTGTGGGGTGGCGTTTTAGGAGAACCACTGCCGTCTACCATCACTGCTGGCCTCTGCCTGCAGCCCAAGCCCCAGTGGGGCCACTGGTGGTGGAGGTAAAATGCCCACTACGCGCTGCTGCTTGCCCACAAGCAGTGCTCTGGGGCCCAGAGCCAGAGGCCGTAAGGTGTGTGTGTGTGTGTGAGGAGTCTCTGGTTTCACAAATAACCTCAGAA